ATACTGTGTCGATTTCTGTGTCGAATGGCCTTGAAATATATCGTCGAAGACATGATTCTAAGTAATTTTTTTCCCTAGGCGACCGTCGCTCTCTTTCAGTTCCCGAGTATTCGCAAAAATATATTCAATACTGTATACACGATATTTCCGTGTTTCTGTTGGGTTTTGGATTTGGTTAGAGATTCGGGGTAGAAATGCACCGAGAGGAGGGGCCTTGCCTTTGCCCCATCCCTCATTTTCGCTTCATTATACACAATTATAGTCCGTTTAATGAATCGAGTAAGTAGAGGCCAGCAAAATTGATGACTTGTCAATTTAATGGTAGAAATCAATCCGATACGATAATAATTTTAATTTACAATTAAAAATTGTGCATTATGAAATAAAAGCGTAGTTGAAGGATAGTCTAAATCTTAAAACGCAGACTGATGCAATATACTTTTATGAGTATGTATCTCGAAAACTAAAAAAAAGACAATTACATCTATAAAGAAAAATTGCTTAGAATTACGTCCTCGAGAACATTTTTCAAAGCTTGAAATTCGTGAGGTATATCTTTGTAAATAACTCTCGATTTCCCATTTTTATATTCGCCATTTTTCAATTTCTATTGTTTTTAAATGTGACGATTAAATGTCGACAAATTTTGATTATGACAATTTTTGGAATATTTTTTTTTTTTCAGATAATGAAATGTATGTACATGTAATTTCTGTTTTATTAAAAAAAAAAAAAAATACGATAATTTTGAACAATTTATACTTTTATTTTTTTAATGAGTGAATAAGGATTTTCTAATGAGTAAATAAGCGTGATCAATATCGCAATAGCGATTCAATTTATGAATGCAGGATAGTCTTGATAACTTACCGATGTAACATAATACATTATAATAATACGCACGTGTATAGTGTTATTATCGTATAACTAATTCAAGCACACGATGTTTACGACGAACGGGTACGTATATGATTAATCTGAATCTATAAAGAATTTATATTCGAAAACAGATTCCTGAGCATGGTGGCACAGAAGTCTCCTACATAGAGAATGTATTTATAGTTACACTAGTTACATTGTTATTTTCTTTTTGAATTATGGTACGCGCATGCCATTATATTGCATGTACTCTTTCAAACAAGCTTCTATGATTATCTCTACTTTTTATCTAACTGATGCTCAATTTAAAAAAAAAAAAGACATATTTCTGTAAGGTATAAATTCAAATAATATTTACACTTTCAATTTACACAAATTACAACATAGAGAAATTAAGAATAGCTTTATATAATTTCTAAATAAATTTAAAAAAAACAATGTTAGCAATATTATTGTTTCGTTCTACTTCTAAATGGTTCACGTATTATCATAACATACCAAATATGTCAAATGTAATGGTACTGTTATTACCAATACTGTTACAGTAATACTGATAAAATGCATTGAAAAACATATGCTAATTACTCATTAAGATGCAGTAAGTAAAATCGTAAGAAAAATTATCGGAAAATTGCATGTTCAATAGGTAAATTAATTATACTTTATTTCGTCATTTCTTTCTTATATGTAGCTTTAATTGAAAGGAAATTGTCTTCGTCGAATTTGCTTCGAATGATATTCTTAAAACGTTTATGGCTGGAATTAATAGTTGTATAAAAGACATATGTAAATCTTTATTGGAAGAAGCCTGAAATTTTAATTGCTATTGCGTCATACATTGAATGAGGAAAAAAAAGAAATTTATAACATAACATAAATAACACAAAAGAAATTTATAACATAACATAAACGTTTATAACATAAATATTAATTTTGAAAGAACGTAAAATTTCTTATTCGTTCGTTAGCTCTGTGCAAATATGCAATTAGTATAGTCATTTGGCTGGAATCGATATCGCACAATGGACGTCAAATTAAAATTGCTGAATAAATTTCTATATTTAATGCCATTACCATTTGACCTTATTATGCTATTTGTGTAGTAATTATGAACTCGCTAGGAAACTACGAAAGTCGACGGTCGAGCGTATTGTAGTTATTCACTGAGGGACACGCAAATTCAACTTCAAGCAGAACGATCGTGTAACAGCTTCGTAAGATTCACTTCGAAAAACTCGTATGCGAAGGAAGTATGAATACTGCTGATATAATTAAATCAAAAGATACATCGGTGTATATGATACGTGAGAAAGGAAATCTGCGTGTAGCTATCCAATTGCAAGTATGAAATTGAGTGCGTATAATAAGCTGTAACACAATTATATGTAGCTATGTGTAAAGTAGGTCGACATGTATGTACGTCCCGTACCAAAGAGCGTAACTTCGGTTTAGCAAACAATTTAGCCTATACCGTTTTATCTTCTGGCTACCTTCTACGCAAGTATTATTTATTCATTTTCCACCTTCATTACGGGTAGCTGAAATCATGGTATTTACGTCGCACGTAAAAATTAAAATTCATAAATAGAAACGTTTTTCTTCGTTATCTTGCGTGTGACTTACAAAATAGTCCGGTGACAGATTCGTTCGATCAGAGACTTAGGTTAAAAATGCATCTTGTTTTTCAGAATTCTTGAGATCATAACAATAAACATCGTCTCGTAACATCTCGTTAGAAAGACATAATTATGTAGTATAGTATATAAAACACCATCATGTACATCTACTATATATATATATACTATATATATATATGCGTATATAAACATATTATACTATACATACCATGTACTATATATATATATTTTATATCAATCTTAAAAGTAATAGAAACAATTAATAACAATTAACTGTTAATTCTGAATAAAAACTACTTTTTATTTACGATTCATAAGTCTACATTTCACTTAATTCGATTGAGTACCAAGTGTAACTAGAAGTTTCTATTCAACGGTGCTACAGAAAAGCAGATGTATCAGAGAATGTATCGAGTAACGTGCGAATTGAACTTCGAACCAAGAATCGTCTCGGAAAGATCATTTTCCAATTTATTAGAAAATATACTGCTACTTTCTGTGATATAGTCAATGACTTGAAACTCGAATTATTAATTGCAACAAATTTCACACGTACGATCAAACCGTTAGATGAGCTATTCAGTTAGAACTTAAACTCTTTATATATTATCTGATTTTAATACATATCGTTGAATTTTACTTGTTAGATTTTCGAAATTACATCTTTATAAATTTAAAAGCGAAATTACGTCTTTATTATTATCTCGGTTTAGTCTCTTTGCAGTTGATATTCAAATTTCTGGAGCGTACAATCTTGATCAAAGATCTAGATATCCAATATTTCAAACATAGTTTATATAGTGATGATACTATATACTTGCCACGTACACTCGTCGTTCACTCTAGGCAATAAACATTAAATTAAGAGGTTTAAGTGTAAAAGGGGTGCAATACACCAAGAGAAGAGTCTCCATAGTCTTTCGGTGAACAGTGTCTAAAGGATAAACGAAAATGGTGGGGTGCTTGTTGGGAAATAAATATATTCACCCCACCTTTCAGGACAAATCTCCCTACTCCTCCTGAAACGTTAGCACGTCGCGCTTCGCTATCGCACAGAATCACGGACAAATCAAACATGGCGATTCAGTCGCTGTTTGCAGTGAAGGCATACGGTTCGTAAAACGGGAGTAGAAGGTATCAAGGTAGTGTGAATCAGGTAGTGTTTTTAAATGGTAATGAATACCAGCACCATTGTGAATCGCCGAATTCTGTTTAATATTACGAATATGGAGGATCATGATGCCAAAACGGTAATGGAGAAAGTGTCGGGCGGCATTGATAAAATACGTGACGTGAAGGGCATACAGGCAGAGCCGACGCCTGCGGCGTCATCGTTGCTCCTTACGGAACAAGTGTCGCTCCCTTCTGGTGAGAACATCAACAAAAACGACTATATCGATAAGAAAACTGTAAGATATTTTGCTGTACTATTTTAAATGTTCGAAAATGCTCGCAATATAAAGATTTAAATGCCTCAAGTAAATCAACTTAATTACAGTCTCGCACTCTTTTATTTTTATAAGTGAATTTTAGTCAAAATTAATCGCATTAAATACCTTTGCTATTTCCTTAAACGAAAATATATTTGTATGAAATAATATGATGTAATATAACATAATGTAATATAATGTAATTAAAGCATTTAGGTAAAGATTAATTAATTAATTCGATTGTTTTTATGTTTTAGTGCCCTAAGTTATTAGTAAAGAATTCTGGGAAATTTGAGAGTGGTAGTGGTAGTGGAGATCAGGAGGGAGGTCAGCATGAGGATGGAAATGATATTGCAGCGAAAAAAAGAAAGACTCGCAGAGGTAAACCTAAACATAGAAAATTAAAACCATATTCAAAACAACAGTTGTCATATCAACAACAACTGAGATATAGATCTAGAGGTCGATTAGCAAAAACTGGTAGACAGCCTCCAGCACCGTATAATACCACACAGTTTCTTATGAATGATCACAGTGATCTTCCAGACCTTGACCAAAAGCTTTCAGAAGCTGCATCTTCAGAATTGCCTACAACATTTCAGAAACCATCAGCCCCTTCTCGTACTCGAGATTCTAGTTTCAGTGTTGATTCCGACGAAGATTATTTCTATTCGTCTCCAGAAGACGAAGAAGAGTTCTTAACTAAGGAATTTTCAACTGCATACGAAGACCTTCACGCTGAAAGATTAAGCACGTTAAGTAAATCAGAACTGATACAAGAGTATCTTCAGTTAGAAGCAAAAGTAGATTTATTGACAAAACGGTTACGTGGTAAAAATCTCCACCAAACAGAACAACGAGACTTGGAAAGCAACAGTAGTAGCACAGACACAGAATCAGCAAAAAAGTTAAAAATCTGTCAGCAACGAATTGACGATTTAATGCAACAGAATGAACAGTTAAAACGGGAAAATGAATCATTAAGGGCCAAAAGGCACAGCAGTCCTGTTTCAAGTGTCGATAGCGAAAGCGACAGTGATAGTACAAGTAACGGGAATAGGAGCAGATGTAGTTGTCTCCTTCCAAATTCTAGCTCTTCTTCAGAACTTATGGGATATGTTTCTAGAAGTAAAAATAGTCAAAGGAATGGCTCTGTGTCTAGTACTGATAGTAAAAGTGATACTTGTGATAGTAGCTCAAGTGACAATTCTAAAACATCTCTGACCCCAGTTAATCTTTCAAATGGCCATGTAAATGTTCAGAAAATGGACGGTCTCCCTACATAAATTACAGAAAGCTGATTTTACACATAAAAAGTCTATTCAATGGTTCAAGAGTTAACATACGAGTCTTATTAAATACTTCATTGGTCATGCATATTTGCTTTAATCCTATCAATTTAGGAAACAAGACTGGTTTAAATGCAATATTATTGCACTTGTGCAGTAAAAAGTCCTCTTCTTGATACTAGATGTAACCTTAGATCAGGGGTGGCGAATTGGCAGTCCGCAGGTCGGTCATGGCCCATGCCCTTACTTTCTTGATCGGTAACGCGATCCCCTCCACTGCATCGATCTCTTCACTGCATTGACTGTCATTGATTGTCATTGATTGTCATTGATTGTCATTTCGTCAGATTTCTTTCTCGCCGTGCATGAGCACTCCCTTATGAGTTACTTCTGCTTGACGGGAGAATCGGCAGAGTGAGTGAGCAGCTCGAGCAGCCGGCTGCGAGGAAGAAGTTCGCCACTTCTGCCTTAGATTATCCTTGAATGTGCCCTTACAATTTACTTTCCACGTTTCTTTTAAGACTGTTTTGTGTAAACTTAAACATGTGTAATGAAATAGAAAATACATACCTAATCTTATGGAAGAGTAAAAATTTATATCTGTGCAAAGGTAGATTGTTATGTGCTTGATAAAATTTGCGAAGGAGTTGTATATTTATGGTGTATTCTCTATAATATTTCATCTTCATTTAGTTACGATGCAGTTGAACCAATTCATCATTCAATAGCTTTCAATGAACTGCCATTTGATGGTACAAAAATGTATAAACTTGGGGTTCACAGACCATCAACTAATAAATTATGAAATTAGATGTGATCAAAGATGTAAATTAATGTTACAAATAATTGTGATATTGTGTACAATTGTATAAATTTATTGTATCAAATTAGATGTTAGTTTATGGTCTGAATATATGATGTGTTAAAGATATTTCGCACTTCAAATATTTAATAAATCTCAAAATTTCTTTCTTTTATTATAATTATTTTCCTGAAACTTAATTGAAGGAAGCGAGTAAGCTTCTTCCGATGGAACAGTCTTTCATTATGGTAGAAAAAATGTTTCCCACAAGAGTTTAATAAAAATATATTAAATAATATTTCAAAGTAAATATATCTTACTATCGTAAGATGTATTGTACATAAAGTTGAATTTTTGTTTTACTTGCTAAAAAGAGTGATAAATGAAGCGTTAGGTATAAAAAAATTTTTTTTTAATGAATTTAAGTAAAAAAAATTTTAAACGACTGACAGTTCCTGGAATTGAATATAAAATATATAATTCTACTTTTTTTGTTTTTTTTCCATTCAATCAAAGCGTATACGCGTAATTAGCATTGTAAGAAATATATAATTTGCATTTGGAAGATTTTGAAACACAGTTCTTGTGTTTATTGTGAACCAGGCCTAATACACTGTGAAACGTTGCTAACTTCGTGGCGCGTGAAATTGAAAAGCACGCAAGGCCAGTGTTTGGTCGTATCTTATGGTTGAGCTATTAACAAGTTTGTAAAAGTTGTTGTCGGTCAAAATATTATGAAAGCAATGTCTCATCATTATGTGGTAACGGCACACAAGCCTACAGCAGTCACCGCGTGTGTGACAGGTAAGTAGAAGTGTTTGTACGAAAAAAAATTGTATGCTCTTCATCAACAATTATTTTCTTTTTACGTATGAAGGTAATTTTACTTCGCCTACGGATTTAAATCTCATATTAGCGAAAAATGTCCGATTAGAGATATATCTTGTTACACCAGAAGGTTTGAGACCACTGAAAGAAGTTGGAATTTATGGAAAGATCGCAGTTGTTAAATTTTTTAGACCGCCGGTAAGGTTATACTGGTATTTTTGTTTTATAACTTATCGTATTTCGCTATTTGTTGTTGTATCTGTACTAACATTTAACGTAATGAAATATGTATTTTATATATATATATATATCTATGTATATACTTGTGATATTTTATTATTGAGAACAATATAACCTTGTATGTATACAAAAAAAAAATTATCTTTGATATCAGGCATGATTATTAATGTGTATGAGTGTGTGAAATTAATGTAAATTTTAAGTCGTAATAAAATGAATTAATACATAATTAATAAATTGTAATATATTTCTGTAGCATGAGAAGAAAGATCTGTTGTTTCTTTTGACCACTCGTTACAATGCCATGATTTTGGAATGTATTGGAGAAGGAGAAAATATAGAAATCATAACGAAAGCGCATGGGAATGTGGCAGACCGTATTGGAAAAGCTTCTGAAACAGGAATCAAAGCTGTGATTGATCCCAAAGCACGTGTAATTGGCTTAAGATTGTACGATGGCCTTTTTAAAATTATACCTCTTGATAAAGACAATCCGGAATTGAAAGCATCGTCGATACGTATGGAAGAGCATCAAGTGCAAGATGTGAATTTTCTCCATGGATGTGCAAATCCTACATTGATTCTAATTCATCAAGATATTAACGGAAGACATGTCAAAACACATGAGATTTCTTTGAGGGACAAGGAATTTGTTAAAATACCATGGAGGCAAGATAATGTAGAACGCGAAGCTATGATAGTCATTCCAGTACCTTCCCCTATATGTGGTGCAATAATAATAGGTCAGGAAAGCATATTATACCACGATGGGAATACGTATGTTGCAGTTGTGCCTCCAATTATAAAACAGAGTACTATTACATGCTATGCGAAAGTTGATAACCAAGGACTTCGATATTTGTTAGGAGATATGGCTGGACACTTGTTTATGTTATTTGTGGAGCAAGAAAAGAAACCAGATGGTACGCAAGTTGTGAAGGATCTCAAAGTTGAACTTTTGGGAGAAATTAGCATACCTGAATGCATTACATATTTAGACAATGGAGTAATATTTGTTGGTAGCAGACTGGGTGATTCACAGCTAGTTAAGTTAATTACAAAAGCAGATGAGAATGGTTCCTATTGTGTCCCAATGGAGACTTTTACTAATTTGGCACCGATAGTTGATATGGCAGTAGTTGATCTTGAAAGGCAAGGTCAGGGACAGATGGTTACATGTTCTGGTGCTTTTAAGGAAGGCTCCCTTAGAATTATTAGAAATGGCATAGGAATTGAAGAACATGCGAGCATAGATTTGCCAGGTATCAAAGGTATGTGGGCATTAAAAATTGGTGGTGGTATTTATGATAACACTTTGGTGTTATCTTTCGTTGGACAAACCAGAATTTTGACTTTGAATGGAGAAGAAGTCGAAGAAACAGATATTCCAGGCTTTGTTGCTGATGAACAAACCTTTCATACCGGTAATGTTACAAATGATTTATTTATTCAGATCACACCAACATCTGCTAGGTTAATCTCGTACGAAACTAAAACAGTCGTTTCTGAATGGGAGCCAGAAAATAAGAGAACTATCAGTGTGGTCGCTTGCAACGGCACACAGGTACTTTGTGCCACTGGAAATGACTTATTTTACATGGAAATTTCGTGCGGACGGATTGTACCAAAAGGATTTGCTACTTTGCAATATGAAGTTGCTTGTTTAGATATATCTCCATTGGACGGTCATACTGAAGCGAAAATCGCCGCAGTAGGCTTATGGACGCATATTTCTGTTCGCATCTTAACTCTACCCGCCTTAGAAGAAATTAACAAAGAATTACTTGGTGGTGAAATTATACCTAGGTCTATTTTGATGACGTGTTTCGAAGGTAATACATATCTACTTTGTGCTCTCGGCGATGGCAGCATGTATTACTTTACATTACACAAACAGAATGGTATGCTTTCTGACAAGAAGAAAGTTACCCTGGGCACGCAGCCAACGGTCTTGCGGACTTTTAGATCATTGTTCACCACTAATGTTTTCGCATGTTCCGACAGGCCTACTGTAATTTATTCGTCAAATCACAAACTAGTATTCAGCAACGTCAATTTGAAGGAAGTAAATCACATGTGTTCTCTGAATGCAGAATCATATCCGGATAGTTTAGCGTTAGCAACCGACAGCACGGTGACAATTGGGACAATCGACGAAATTCAAAAACTACACATCCGTACTGTTCCACTCGGAGAGTCACCGAGACGAATTGCTTATCAAGAGAGTTCCCAAACATTTGGAGTAATAACGATGCGCGTTGACATCCAGGACAGTAGTGGTGTTAGTATTGTAAGACATTCCGCATCTACGCAAGCAGCCTCCACATCCAGCAGCAGTCACATTGCATCGTACAACAAACCTACGGGACACACAGCTAGTGACATTTGTCAAGAAATCGAAGTACACAATCTACTCATCATTGACCAACATACTTTCGAAGTTTTACATGCACACATGTTAATGCCCACTGAATATGCATTGTCAATGATATCGACGAAATTAGGCGAAGACCCGACTTCCTACTATATCGTTGGGACCGCTCTTGTCCATCCTGATGAAACTGAGCCAAAAATGGGTAGAATACTTTTGTACCACTGGAGCGATGGAAAGCTGACGCAAGTTGCAGAAAAAGAGATCAAAGGATCATGTTATTCTTTAATTGAATTCAATGGGAAGCTTCTTGCTAGTATTAACAGTACTGTTCGTTTGTTCGAGTGGACAGCAGAAAAAGAGCTCAGATTAGAATGCAGCCATTTCAACAATATCATTGCCCTTTATTTGAAAACCAAAGGAGATTTCATTTTGGTTGGAGATCTTATGAGGTCTCTCACGTTACTGCAGTATAAAACTATGGAGGGCTGTTTCGAAGAAATAGCAAGAGATTATAATCCAAATTGGATGACTGCCATTGAAATATTAGATGATGACACTTTCTTGGGTGCTGAGAATTGTTTCAATCTGTTCGTTTGTCAGAAAGATAGGTAAGATATTAATGTTGATATTCATTAATTCGTTGGGACATGAAATGAGAAATTGAAAATGCATTCTAGTGCCGCCACTTCTGAAGACGAGAGACAACAGATGCAGGAAGTTGGACAATTTCATTTAGGCGATATGGTTAACGTTTTCCGACATGGGTCGTTGGTGATGCAAAATTTAGGCGAGTCAAGTACACCCACGCAAGGTTGTGTACTGTTTGGAACTGTTAGCGGCGCGATTGGTTTAGTTACGCAAATTCCATTCACATTTTACGAGTTCTTGAGAAATCTTGAAGACAGGTTGACGAGCGTAATAAAAAGTGTTGGCAAAATAGAACACAACTTCTGGAGGAGTTTCAACACCGAATTAAAAATCGAGCAGTGTGAAGGCTTTATTGATGGAGACTTGATCGAGAGTTTTCTCGACTTGAGTCCCGATAAAATGGCAGAAGTTGCAAGTGGTCTTATGGCAAGTAAACTTGTTTTTTAAACTATAATATGTAATTCATCGTATTTTTAACTTATTTTCTCGCATTTTACAGATCGACGATCCTAGTGGAATGAAAAAAGAGGCAACAGTGGATGATCTTGTAAAAATAGTAGAAGACCTTACGAGAATACATTAGATGTAATCTTTTGGTTGATTTGTATAGTTTATTATATTTTGAAAAGCTCGATAAGGAAAATAGATTGATAAGGAAAATCTTAAATGTTTGGGAAACAAATTAAGAAATTTATATACAATATCTATTTATCATTAATAGTATAAGAAAGTAGGGAAATACATTTTTCTTTTTTTTCCATTCTTGTGAAAATACTTTATTATATATGCCTGTAGTCTTTTTATCTTAATTCTGATTATATTACAGTAAAAGTTTATTTCAAATATTTGTATATGCACATACAAAAAAGCTGGTCAAAAAGGTTTTAAACTTATTTCAAGGATACATAATTCGTACAAATCATGAGAATTGGACTTTAATATTGTTGCACTCGTTGTTGTGTCGTGATGTATCAAAGATTACAATTAATTTATTTAAACAGTACTTATGAATTTAAAAACTTTTTGATCAACAACAGTTTTATAACTACTTGCGACAGCTATCCTTTGTTTCTGATATCTCAGAAGTGTGTCAAAGATTATTTAAATTAGTAATCACATACATACATTGATTAAGTTATAAACATCTTGTACACTCAATATAGAATATCAAATTTCTTTTGATAATATTTCCACTTTTGAATATAATAAATAGAATAACTTGACAAAAATTTACTACTAATTTACAATTGTAATCATATTAGTGTTAATTGCCGAAAAATTATTAGAATCCTTGTATCTTTGTAACATTGAGTGTAAATAATAAAAAAAAATATCCACTTTCTGATAAAATTTTTTCGTACTACATATACATTCAGTCTACTTGTTTGCGTTTATTGCAGCTTTTAAAGTGATAGGATCAAACAACCAGTTTTTTAATTCTTCGATACCTTGACCAGTCATTCCACTAGTTTCAAATATAGTTAATTCTTGCGTAACTTCTTTTTGCATACGCGAATAATGAAGCATAAGTAAAGCTTCGTTGCGCATTTGGCGATAAGACAGATCCATTTTATTCAGTATTAATGCGATTTTTGTATTTTGCAGCGTGGGATCAACTAACAATGAGTAAAGCAATACTCCTGCCGCACTTATTTGACAAAGATTGCTTGTATCTATCACATAAATAAGCTTCCGTGTCTAAAAGCAGAAGATAATAATTTAAAAAATTGTAGAAAACTTGTGTACACATGTGAAATCTCTTATTTTTATCATTTAAACTTTTTGAGAAGGGAATTACTTTTTTAAAATAATGCTTCCATATCGGTGCCATACTACCACCAATTTCTTTAATAATCATGTCAAATTCTCCGGTATTGTTTTTTATTGTGAAAAGATTTATGCCATTCGTAGGAACAGTATGAGTTGCATTGTCTATTTCATCCCCTTGCAATCGTTTCATTAAAAACGTCTTGCCCGATTTAACAGGACCAAGACAAAGGCACATCTTCCAACGCTTATTGTATATATTCAAGAATTCACTGTGCATTTGTAAATTGTGATCATCAATCTTACACGTGCATACGTACAGAAACGTATTGATTTAACAAATGTGTTTCTACAGTAAATGAAAATATAGTTCATAGACAATGCACGTATATTTTTCGTACAATTTAATATATAAAACTTCAAAATTGTACATTACTATTGCTTGTTTGCATAGAAAATTTGTTTTCAAAGACAAATGTTACGAACCTTGCCAAAGATACGAGAACAGTGTTTTATTACACGTAACAAATACTGGATACACAATGAATTTATAAAGTACAACGTAGTACGTTCACTGATGTACATGTAAATAATTATATAATTTTATAAGTACGATACGAAATGAATGAAATAGTATATGTTAAAGATAAAGCAAAATGCAAAATTGTATATAATTTCTTTGCGTATTGCCCTTTCTTTTTTTAAAATTTTAGTTCATATAAAACATAGTTATAGATAGATTTTCTCTTCTTTAACATATACATTTCAACCACATTTTAACATTCTTTGTTAATAACATCGGTAGAAACACATCTTTCTTTTATCAATTAATTCGCAATATAAGAATAAAAATAAATAAAATTATGAATTATGATCTGATGTCTAAATAATAACATAATAAATAAATTATTAACAAAGGAAAATATATATATTTGGAACAAAGAAACAAATCATTGTAACAATTCTTGTTCGGAAAGATATGTATTCCATCAATGCAATCAAACTCACGTTTCTTACTGATTTAATTCAAATAAATGTTCCCGTAATAAAGTTGATTTTATACACTTCAATCCTTTGCACTCATCAAGCAAATTATGAAATGCTGTCAGCCACCTATAAATTCAATATAAAACAATAAATATAATTATTATTAATATTTACATTGTGTTACAGTTTTCTAGATATATATCGTATAACGCTCCGAATATATATCCAGAATACAAAAAAAGAAAAAAATAAGTGCAAAGGTTCAAAAACTTCGAACGACAAAGAGTGCGTGTCTTTGTGATCGCGTTTACATTTCTTGTATCTTTGTTAAAGAATATGAGAAAAGCATGTCACATACATGTTGCGCATAAGGCACAGACGGATTACCTACACTAGTGCGAATTGACAAAATGGAATAAAAAACAAGAATCCACTACAATTTTTTTTTTTAAACGTACTATAAATACTCCAATTTCGCGACATTATAAATTTATCTAATCTCCTGTACAAACGTATTTATATATATATTGTATATTACAAAGTAAGTTCTCTGAGTCTGTATGTACAATGATTTCATTATAAATTGTACTCCAAACTTAGTAATGCTTTTTCTCGAGGGAGCACGACTAGACTAGAATTTATCAGTTCAAGCTTGATTCACCTTCTGTAGCAAAGATCGTACTTGTCGAGGCATTTGCCATGATTGTAAGCGTTTATCTTTGCTACCAGCTATAATCTAGAAGAATAAATTCGTCGAACGTTAGACTCGGTGCAACATGACATTCCAATGGCATTTTAGGAAGATAGTTTAGATACCTTATTGTCTACGACTTCCATACTTAACAACATATTACCAGGTCCAGGTATGCTACATACAAACTGATGATCCTAAAATTCGTTCGAAAATTAATACACAACTCTCTCACAACGGACATCGTTGTTTTTTAATTTCATATTAACCTTTGTGTCGAACACATAAATATTTCCGTCATAACAACCGGCAAACAATAGTTGTTTGTACAGACGCATACACACGATTCCTACGCCAGCGTTGTACTGCATCGTTTGTTCGCCATTCTAATAAAGGTGAATTTCACACGCAACGATAAAACATCATCAACAACAAAAGGCATTTGTATGTAATCATTTGTACAAACCGTAAAATCAAAGACTGGTATAGACGTGCTACTCGTGCCACAGTAAATTAAATTATCGTTACGCATTAGGCTGTACACAGTGTGATTTTTTTGACCGCAAATTGTACGAAGAAATAGGCCGCTCTGAGCATCTCGTATCGTTATCGGTTGGCTACGCGATGCTACAATAAGAACTCTTCGTGGACCCTCGTTAGTTGCTTTTAAAGCTAGCACAGACTTATCTGAGAATTGTATACTGTCTCCTTTAATAACGCCTGTCTGAAATATTCGTTAATGATAATATTCATACAATAAAGTGCAATAAAGATAATTTTATTACATTCTTCAACAAACCTTCATATGATAACGTAGCACATGGCCTGACTTGGTGCCAATGAAAATTATTCCCCATGCTTCGTTCATACATTGTATAGGGCTGCCTATGTCTGCTGTGTCTCTCACTTGTATTCCAGTCTAACAAAATTTATTTACAGTGTACAACAATATGTACAACGAAAAGGTACATTAGTTGTATGTTGTGCTAAATTAATAAACATGTTACTTACTTTTATGTTGTAACATCGCAATGTTCCATCCAACGAACCAGAGAACATCCATTCTTTGCTAATGTCTGTGCTAATTACATTGTACACGTATAAACACGTTACTGCCGCTTTATGACCTTTGTAAATATTCAATATTCCATTAGACGCTTGATTATACCTATAAATTCTGCCATCTTCACTTGCAGCTAGGAATGAATTCTCAAAAACCTAGAAGACATACTTCATTTTCAAGTTGTTAAGTCTGATCTAACTAATAGCGCAGGGATTCTCATAAAAGTTCTCTGTAGTGCCAATCTCGTGATTTCACAGATGGGAAAACAAAAGAAATAAAAATGACAAAGAGTTACGTTGAAACGTACAGAAATACACAGTTGCAAAGTAGAACAAGGTGAAGGAAAATGACGAGTGAATATTTGAAAATGCTAGAAACTTTTTTAGATTTTATTAATATTTGTTTCTTGTGTTTGTACACTTTGTCATATATATGCCAATAAAATACCTTAAAATGAAAAACAAAATATGATGACAAAGAAGTATAGTATTTCTGTAGAAATATAAAATATAATGTGTTTTCCTCATTTAGTAGGAACTGAAAACATATTGTCACTTTATTGTCACAAGGTTGTATGAAAACCAAAAGAAAAGAAAAAAGAAAGCAAAAGAAAAGGAAATGAAAATATCTAGATTCACTGTGTTACAATAAGAGAACAAAAATGTCATGTGAAGAGTTCGCAAAGAAAGTATTTCCATTTCGTTATTTCTTTTTTAATTTCTTTTTCAATACCCTGTTTACCTTAATATCTAAAATAGGACCTTTATGAACCGTGTACTGCGTCCTCGCTTGTTCTTTGTCCTCTTTGTCTATCACAGTCGTTGGCAGTTCGGAATCGCTGTGCTGTTCGTTCTTAATGACTCGCACTCTCTCTTCCACAATCTCGATGTCCGATTTCTCACAATTCTCCGCAATGTCCATAGTAACGAATTCATTTACCAAAACCGGCATGACTTCGATGTCGGGATTTTCGCGTTCCTCCGTATCGTTCACCGGCAACAAATCCACTTTCGCGGTTTTCGTCACTCTCTTGACTTTATTAGCGGAACTAATTTGCTCGCTTGTGGCACATCGTGCTGCGTCGTCAATCTTTCTCATCGATTTCGAAGTCTGATTCTGTGGCGATTCACAGGACGAGTCTTTGGTCAACGTCGATTGCGTGGAACTTACGAGAGCATCTGTTTGAAGGCAGTTGACACAATGCATGTTAACTCTGGCTATTCCGTACTTTCGCAATACATTCGAGCTGACGTTCGATTTCAAAATCGTGTGTCTGCAATCCACCAGCCGCACCATGCAATTCATCATCTCGCACATTGTGTACTTGCTGTGTTTTTCAAATCCTTTCAACGATTCGCCGCTCGACTCGTGCGGCGCCACCTCCATCTCTGAGAGCGTGGGCGTGCATCTCTTTCTGTTGGCTGCCGGTCTCTGAACGCTGCGACACTTTTTCGGATTTACCAGCACGTTCTCGAGTTCCTCGCACGGCGACTGCGTTCTGAAATTCTTCTCATCTTGCTTTGCAACTGGAATCGCGGTGTCAGCTTCCACTTTTATGCGTTTCGCTGGCTCCTCGTATCTCGAGCTTCGTCGAACAGTTGTTTTGCTGCTTCCCTTCTTACGTTTCAGCAGCTTTTTACTGAGAAACGCTTCGCCGCTCTCGATGAAAGAGGAACTTTGATTATTGTTCTCCTCGCCGGATCGCTCGGTGTCTTTCCTTTTACGCGGCTCTTTGTGCTCTCTCATGCTTACAAAGTGTTTGCCTTGACGATTCGATTCTCCAATACTGTGATTGTCGCCATTGTCATTGACAGTTAAGAGATCTTGCACATTGCTTTCGTTTGCGTTTTCCAATTCAGTGTCGTCGGCTTTGTTCTTCGATGTAGTCTCGTCCGCAATAATTACGTCAGATTCAAGCGCGATGTCGGAGTTTTTCTCTTCCGTTTTCTCTGTAGGTTTTGTTACGAACTGTCTGTCGACAGGATCCAGCGCCACGATATTCTCGTCGACGTTAATACATTTGTCTTTCGACTGAGATTTCTTCGTTTCCACGTCAATCTTTTCTACGGATATTTCCGGATGTTCCGACACGTTCGAGACGTTTCGATCGTTGGGAATGTTACTCGAGCTCGACTCGGCGAATCGACACGAATCTGAATCTTCTCGATCGAGGATCGTCGTTCGATTGATATCGACGATGTTGCTCGCTACAGTTTGTTGCACAGAGGACTCTGCTAAACCAATTTCATCTGTGTTGCATCTAGTGTCAAGCAAATCTCTCGTAATTTCTGAATCTTGTTGGAAATGATGTTGGAAATGCTCACTGTTTGGAAGCTCTTGCGATTGGTCAGGCAGCATCGTTGCTTGCGGCTCGTCCGTTTTAGCATCATTTCTTTCGCTATTGTTTTCAGAAATTGTAGCCAGCTCTGTCGGCGATTGGTCGACATCTTTCAACGCGGAAGCGGGCGCCATTTGTTCCTCTTGGCCGGTTTGAAAATCAAGGTTCTCCGCTGAGGTTAGTACGGTAGTAGTAGCTTCGGTTAATATTTTCTCCGTGGATGGTCCCTCTGTGTAAAGGTCGGACGTTCTGTTCTCTGCCACAGCGTTTATTATTTCCACCACGTTCTTCCACAACTGCGGGTCGCTCGCTTGTTGTTGTCTCGTTCCTTGCTCCAGAGAGTCCAACAGTTCCCTCCTCTGATGCAGCTTCTTCGCGTACAGCGTGGCAAGTGGCAGCTCCTCCTCGTCAGATGTCAAATCGTTCACCGTATTCCTCAGCATGTTCCTTAGTTTCCTCTTCCTCTTACGCGTTCTCTCTCGCGTACGTCGCGCTCTCGCCATTTCTCTCCTGTACGTTTCCTCCAGCAGGGCAAGGCCGGTGCTCGGTTTCTTCTGATCGTCAGCGGCGATCGTCGGATTCTGATGGAACGAGTCCCAAGTACTGTCGTCCGAGTATATCGACAGCCTCTCTGGCGTTTTGCTCTCCCGACTCTTCGCCGATTCCACGTCATTGCCCGTCTGAGATTTGTTACTCGTGTCATTCCCGGCGACGTCCGCTTCGACCTTCGTTAAGAACTGATCTGGAAAAAGTGAAGTTTGTATCGTTGCTGGCCGCCTGGCGTCCTCTCTTCTACACGTTAATTTCATCGCGTTATTATTATCGCTTGCCTGTCTCTTCCCAATCTCAACAATGTCTAGTTTACTCTCAAACCTTTTCGCCGTTCTTTCAGGCCTCTGTCTCTTCTTTTTCTTGGACGATCTGGCGCCGATTTCTTCACCCTCCGAGTCACAAACGCTGACGCAACTTTCCTTCCTTTCTCTCTCCTGATGATTATGATGGTTGTGCTTGCCCAACGTCTTGGATATATTAGGGCTGGCCGTGCTGTCTCTCTCTCTCTCGCAGTGACTCGCAGGTGCAGTGTCCATGTTTTGAAGTAACCTGGACATCACCGAGGACGGTGGTCGAGTTACAGGCGACTCAGCGGTCACGTTCTTGTCCTCCGCTTTGTTGCTTTGTTGCAGGCTCTTGTCGCTCGTCAACATCTGATAGAGGGTCATCTTCTCCGTCATTAGCTTGTGGATCTCCACGTCGATCTCGATCATCCTGGCCATCACAACTTCTTTCGTCGTTGGCTGCTTCAGTCTTCTAGTCTTCTTCTTGTGCTTCATCCTCGGTTTATTCCTCACGCTGTTCAACAGCCTATTTCTTCTGTCTTTTCCGTCTGACAAGGCGGAGCCAAGTGACTTCTTCTTATCAACGACTATCCCTTCTTTGATCGACTTTCGTCTCGTCGTGTCGCCTTTTTGCGAGGTATCCTTAGCTGTGTCAGTAACATTCTGCGAATATTCTGCTTGGCTCTCCGCCACTGTCTTCGAGTTTGATTCCACGTTCGATACTGAAACAGAAGGGAACACGTTCGTAGTGTCTGTGAACAGCTGTAGAGGTAAGGTATCGTCCTCTCGAGGCAGTGTTTCTCTTTCGTTTTCACGCGTTTCGTTCTGCTGCTCCACGGCTTTGGCATGCAGGTCAGGCTGGCAGTTGAACTTCTCGTCTATGTACTCGTCGAGGACGATGAACGGCTCGCTGTCCTCGATGAACGTGTCGTGATTTTCAATCCCGGCGACGGATAGGAATTTCCTCTGGTCCTGGTTCTCGATTTCGCCATCCTTACCGTCGTCGTCGTCATTCACACTTGGATATTTGTCGACGTTCTCCAAGCTGGACTTCTCCCTCTCGTTACCGCCATTCTCTCCCGTTCTTGATTCTGAGGTAGATTTGTCGTTAGGCTCTCCCTGCTCCTGCGAGCTCTCCCCAACAATCTGGTCGTCCACTCTTGCACGACAGAATCGAGACACCTGGTAAACGTCGTTGTCAACGAGGAAACCCTTGAACGGGCTGCTGGAACCACTCGGGGGCGCTGTTGCCTTGTCACTCACCTGTGACCTCGAATTCTCGCCCGATGCATCTTGCTGCCATCTCGCTGTTCTCCTGTTGTCGCTCGTTCTCTCATCTACGTTGCTCGCCTCTGGAACACAATTGGCACCAATAGATGCCTCGTCGTTCTTGAAGTTCTTCACGTTAATCCTACGGCCGTGTTTCTCGATATCGACATCGATCCGCTCGCTCAACAATTGATGAGATTCCCTGGCGACACGGTCTGGGAAAGAAGGTGCTGCGCTGCTCGTGCATTTTTCAACGGGAATCGATTCGTCGTGGCCGTGGTTCATCGAGTCCGTCGATGACACGTCGTTACACACGTCGCTCTGTTTAATCGAGCTTTCAATAGGCGTAGATTCGACCGACATTGTACTCGCTTGTTTCTTCTCCATTGAATCCGAGCTCGTTAAGTTTCCATCGTCATCTCCTTTCTCTTTCTGATTTGAAACGATCGTTTCGTTATTGACTCGTGTCATCGAACTCGTAATAACGTTCTCCCTGTTGTTGTTGTTGTTGTTGTTGTTGCCAACATGCAAACGTTTCTGCGGAGTTGTTCTCCTGTCGATTATATTCGTCGAGCTCTTCCTCTTCTCGAGTTTACTCGGCAGCCTCTTCTTCTCGTTCGATCTTCTCTTCGTCTTCTCCTTGATCAGTTTCAACTCCTTGTCACCCTCGGATCGGATGTTCTTGAACTTGGACGAGTCAACGGCCATCGATCTGTTCGGTCTTCTCCTCGAGCTGACGAAGCCTGCGGCTATCTTCTTCCCGCCAGGTCCTTTCATATCATCCACTTCTCGCCGCTTGTGCTCGTCCTGTCCCTTGGATTTCGATCTAGCGGGATCTGCAACAACTGTGCTTGGATCGATGTCTGCCGATCGACTAGAAAGTTCCCTCTGACGATCCCCTTGCGAGCTGCTAATCCTCTCTTTCACTCCTTTGTCAGACTCCTCCCCCTCCTGTGCGATGGTCGATCTCACCTTGATTGGTCGAGGATCCTTGCCCGTCTTTGTCTCGTTCTCCGACGAGCCAGGTTCGACGTTCGACTTGCTCTTAGCTGACGAGCCGTGACTAGACTTCACCTGGCCACGTTCCAACTCCTTCGAACGTCTCTGCAACGCCCGCTCTTTGTACGCTTTTATGTCTATCTTCCTGTAATTGTTGCCATCTTTGTTCACCTTTTTGCTATCGAAAGCAACAGCGTCCGTGATCGTGTTGTCGTTGGTTGCGTTGCTTATCACCGCACGTGTCGTGCTGTTAACAATTGTAATCTCGTTGGACGACTGAAGGCACGAGGATGATGATTCCTTGACGGACAATGGCGCAGTCGTGTCTATTTGTTCGTTGTCGCAGCTCCTTGCTGTCTCGTGATCTATGTCCACTTCCAGGGGACGATCGCTCTTGATCTTCAGGTTTTCAGCCAGCTGCTCCGTCGTCATTTGTTTCTGATCGTTTGGCTTCGGCATCTGTTTCAGCTGCGCCTTGGTTTTCCGCTGCGTGGCTGCTGGAAAACCGGCCGTTGACGTTGCTTGCTCGACGTTGGAAGGAAGAGTGGAGACCTGTTGTTCCTTCTCTGCCCGCAAGCACTGAGATTCATCTCGCTTTTCGTCCTTCACTTCCTTCTTGATCTCGTCCTCCGTCAGTAGCCGGAGCTCGTCCCCGTGGCCGCAGTCGGACCTCGAGCTCGAGTGAGAATCTCGCCTCTTCCTCCTCCTCTTATCTCTCCTACGTTTCTCTCTAAGCCTGTCTTTTTTCCTTCTCTCGCGTTTGCGGGACCTACTCTCCTTGTGCTTGCTCTTCTCCTTCCACTCCTTCTCGATCTCAGCGGCCACCTCGTCCCTGATCGTCTCGTTCAACGACCTATTCTTCGCGATCTTCTCCTTCTCCTTGATCACCTTCAGCAATTTCGTCACGTTGGCAGCCACCGCCTTCTCCTCGCCGTCGCTGTCGCTGAAACTGCTCGAGCTGCTCTCCTCGCTGCTACTCTCAGACTTCTCTCCCTTGTCGTTCATTCTCTCGTTAGAAGCATCGTCAACGCACCTGTCTGCTGCGTTGTTGCGCGCATGAACAACTTCCACGCGGCTCAGAGGACTCACGCTGAAACGTCGAGCGGGTGAGTCGTCCAAGGAGCAGTGTCTTCGGCGAGCTCCTCGGCTGCTCAGATTCTCAGCGCTGCTCGAGGCGTTCCTCCGAGGCGGCAGAGTCGCTTCAACCGTAGACCCGTACTTCGCCTCCCACTCCTCTTTCGTCAGATTCCTGAACGTGTCCGGGTCCTCCGGCGCCTTTCTGTTCCACCTCTCGTATCGTTCGAATCGACGCGAGCTGTTGCTGCGGTCCACCGAGCTGGACTTCCGTGCCCTCGGATGATCCACGTTCGTGTTACTCTCGAGCTGCCTGGCTCGAACGATCCCTGCTGAAAAAATATCGTCGAGATCAGTCGCCGAACTTCTGTTGGCAACTCGCTTCGTGGGTGTCGACTCCGCGTTCGAGTCGACTGTTTGAATCGACGAAACGTCCGACACTGTGACGATCCCCTCCGCGGGCAGACTGCTGCTCGACAAGGTCCTCGTCCTCTCCGCCACTTGCGACAGTATGTCGTCCAAGTCAGCCTCGTTGAACAATGGCTGCTGTTGCTTCTTGTGCGTGCTCTCCGCCTCACCGGCGAGAGAGTTCAATCGAGTTTGCGACGAGTTTGCGTCCACGTGATGATGATGATGATGATGATAGTGATGATTAGGGTCCTCTTTAACCCTAGGTGAGAGCTTGTCCTGTTGCACATTGTGTTCCTGAGTGTCCAAATTCTCCCTCTGGTTTCCGACGTTCGTCCCATCGAGAACCGAGTCCGACTCGGTCGTCAGGGCGTCAAACGGTATATCGAGCTGAAGAACTTCGCTCAGATGATGGATGAACTCCGTTGGCAGGTCGGTGATGCCGACAACGGCGCTCGGGTCCAGCATCGCGTTCAGCTGGTTCATAAATTCGATTCTGTCGTACTCCTTCATCTTCTCGTCCTCGACGTTGCGCAGCTCCAACGAGAGCGACGACTTCCTCTCCTTCACCAGATGCTCCATCACGATGTCGAACTTGCGAAGGCTCGAGTTGTTCACCATGTTGCAAATGTCGTTCTTGCTCATCTTCAGGAAACGGCTGATTATTCTTTTCTTCCACAGGGACTCCGAGGTGAGAGCTTTCTCCTTTCTAGCCTCTTCCCTTGGCTTCTGGCTCTGACGCGCTGTCACGTTTTCTTGCTGCTTCTCCGAGTCCCTCTGACTCTTGTGACAATGAGACTGAGCGTTGTTGCTCGATTTCTTCTGCGTGGGGGCACCACTTGCCACTTGCTCAGAGTCAGAGCTCCTCTTCATTTTGACCTGCTTCTGCTGGCTTCTACTTTGATTCCTGTTGTTCCTGCTCTCAAAAGGATGATGCTTCCTAGAGATGGATCTCTGCTCGTTTAAATTTCGCACCGTGCTTTGTTGGGAGGTCACTCTGATTTCTGGAACGTTCAGAGAGATCCTGCGCCACTCCTCTGGTTTGTGTATTTTCTTCGTCTTGGAATTCAAGTTGAACACCACTTTGGGCCTTGCTTGGTCGTTCGACAGTAACACGTCTTCTGTACTTTTGCTCTGACTTTCTGCACTTTGCCCCTTGTCTGTCGTTTCCATATCCTCTTCTTTCTCTGAGCCAGGTAACTCTAATCCACAAGCTACAACATTTTGTCTGTTTCTCTTATCTCTTTCTCCTCCTTTGTTTCTTCGCATTGTTTGCGTTTCTTTCCTCCTTTGTTTCTTTGCATTGTTTGCGTTTCTTTCTTCTATTGTTAGAGAGCCATCTGCAATTTTAACTGGCACTGGAATTTCTGCCGGTGTTAATTCTGTTGATTCAGGGACTGGTGTGTCCTTGTTCTTCACTTCTTCCGTCAAGTTCATCTGCTTTGCAAATTTCATTGCTTCTTGCATGTCTTCTAATCCGTCGTCCATGGTCATACCTTGATTAGCATTGGAATTTCTTTTCACCGAGGAAGAAGGTTCTTTCAGTGACGGTGGAGGAACTTCAGTGATAGTCATAGGTGGTAGACGTAATGAAAACTTCCTCATCGTTCTTTGTCCACCGCTTGTTTCTGACACAACAGATGGAAAGTTCATTTGCACGTTGGACATGAGAGGTCGATGCGACGGTGTGTTTATGAAAGAGTTCAATCGTGGGAAATTTGGCGTAACAGGACTAATACTGAAATCCGGCACTGATGACGTTTCCATTAAATTCGATGGCATTGCGTTTGACCTGGATGCATCCAAGGGAACAATCAAGTTGGAACGCTCTTGAGAAGAGAGTCTTGGATCAAAAACTGGTGGAGGTAGAAGGGTTTCCTTCCTTTTGTGAATTTTCGGAGGTGGCTGTTGTGGATTAAATTCAGGTATCTGTTCATCAATTGTTACTGAGACATATGGAATCCTAATAGATGGTGGCCCCCTGTGGTCAAAGGTAGAGGATGATTCTGTAATTTTTGAAGTGCTTTGAGAAACATTTGCCAAGGGCATAGACTGCTGTAAACTTTCCTGTTTATTTAATGATTCTGTACACGGTTTTGATTTTATGTTTGGCAGAGGTTCGCTTGGATCAAAGGTAGGGAGCTGATCGTTAGAAGAAAATGGCACTATTGAATTGTGCTGAGTATCATGGCTTGAAATAGGTACATTATGTGTAAATGGTGGCAGCGTTCGTGGATCAAATCCAACTGAAACTAAATCAGTTGTAACGTGTTTTGGCAGAGACATCCGATTGCCATGATGAAAAGATAATCTCTGTGCTCCTCTGAAGAATGAATTTGTTACATTTTGTTGAAAAGTCCAATGGCATCTAGGCCTTCCTGTTCTCGAAGTGAATCTAGGGGATTCGTTGAAGACCTTTGATTGAAAAGCAACTGGATTATTTAATTTTCTATCATCACTTAACTTATTATTCACTTCACTGTAATTTAAATGCGTTGAAGATGTGGGATCACAAACAATGTTTAAGTGAATTTCTTCAGATACATTTTTCAAATTTTGATGAATTACCTCTTGGGGGACGTTTGTTTCTGAATCGTTTTCAATCTGATCATCTTCAAGCAACTTTGTTTCTATATGATCATTCTGTTTTATATTTACATCGGTATCTTGCGCGATATCACTATTTTGATCCTGTATATCTGCTTGCACAGTGTTTTGATCTTGTGAAAAATCTATCTTCAACTCATCTTGATTATTTGTAGTTAATACTGATGTAGAAGCTGTTTTTATGTCATTTACATCTGAAACCTTCTCCAATAATGAATTATCCACTGATTCTGTTGGTGACAAATTTGTACAAATATTCTCATCTACATTTAAAGTAGATAATTTTTCATCAACATCATTAACGTTTGAAAATGTTAAATTTCCTGTAATACTTTGCAATTGTAAATTTTCTACGTTGCAGTCAAAATCAGGTGATTCACAATGTATCTGTTCCTGACATTTGTCATCTTTCACTGACACATTTGATTGTTTGAGGTCATCTTCGTCACACAAATCTAGAATAATTAAAGGTTCTTCTCTACTTTCATCTATAATAATAATTTCATTGTTTGTACTTGTAACATTGTCCTCAAGCTTCTTATCAAAAGTAATTGAAATCTTATTACTAAGTTTACTATCTAAGTTTCCATATTTTAAGTTATTGCAATCGATTCTGCCTATATCTCTAAAGTCAGTAAATGTTAGATCAAGTTCAGGCGGTTCGTGTCTAAGCTCAGGGATACCTCTGTTTCGTATATCCTCTTCTTCAACATTTGGTAAAACAGACAAATCATCTTCCCAGCAATTTGTAAGCTCTTTCTCTGTAATAGAGGACAATTTTTTCTTCAACTTGTCAGCTGTTTCTGCGATTTTTTGCTGACGTTCCTCTTCAGAACCAAGCAAAGGTGTCTGTGGTGCCAATACAGACTTATCTTCGACTTGTTCTTCATGAGCTAACGTTGGGGCTGTATGCACAGGATTTCTTATAAAACGAAACTGAGACAACGGTGGTCTACCAGAAACAGAAAACCTTACTATCCTACGACCACCTGTTGCCCTACCTCGGCTATTTGGACGATATTGCAAGTTGCCCCTGAACTGTGGATGAAAATTTTTGTTCTGCTGCCAGGGTACGAACTTTGGGCCAGGTAATCTGTGCGATGGTCGTGGATGATTGAAGGTAGGATGTGAAAATCTGGGTCCATTAAAGCCATTGGGTGGACCATTTGTACGAGCTCCTCGTGGTCCAAAGCTTCTCCCACGGTATCCACTGCTGCTCATTACACTGCTAATTGTGACGCTTTGATTATCACAGTATGTTTAAGCTTGCAGTCCTGTTGATAGCCATGCGACTCCTAAAATGCTGTATAGTTATTATACTAATATTCACATGCTGCATAGTTTGTGCAATTGGGGTCCTCCTATCTGGTAAAACAAAATTCTTCTAATGCTTCCTCGAATTTATCGATACGAATCTCTCGAGAATTGCAATCTGCTGTAAGCAATTCAAAGTCGCGTAGAAAACCTCACTCCTCGAGTCTTCTCTTTGATATTGATATTAAATCTTTGCAATTATAATATACGTATGGTGCGTGACGTACATATCACAATTGGTGAGTACGGATTGTATCCTCAGGCTTATTACGAGTCTCGTGTAACGTTAACGAAACAATAACAAAACGACGTGCACTTATTCAAACATAATCGCCATGTTGTACAACTTAATTTCGCCAGGCTTGATAAACAACGCATATACCTTGCTGTCAGACAGTCGCGTTTTGAACAAAACTACATCCAGAGAACTTCAACTTCCTCGTACGATGGCCCGATGTTTCAACTGTCGCGTGTCATGCATTTCTAGGAGGTATATTTCGATACGCAACGACAGCGCTGCACCCGTTTCATTTAATTACATCTTCACTCCTCATGTTTAAAAACCTAAATTCAGTCACGAACTGGCTAGCATCTTAGATCGCTCGCGTTCAGCCTCGGCGTAGCGACGTGAACTAAGTGTCCTGGTTAGTCTTTCAAACTGACAGTCGAGTCGCATTCGTTTCTTAAATCAAAAATTAATGCGTATGATGTGCAATCAATACGATCTCAATCGCTTGCAATGCAAATTAAATACATCTTCGAACATTACCGGTTGCTGTTGCATTACATTTCTTCATTAAACTTAAAAGAATTTAAGAACTTATAGAGGACAATTACCATGTTATTATAACATTACAATGTCATATATATGTATATTATTTGTAACATTAACAATATTATTATATATACATGTCTTGTGTTTTTTTGAATAAATAATAAATAACACAGTTTTCTATCCTTATTTTACCCTAATTTTATTTTCCGTATCGTAATTTGCAAGACTTGATTGCAAATAATTTACTATTTCAACCATTCTCGACTAATAATAGCATACGAAACAAACTTGTGCCGCTATCTTATGGTATAAAGACAGATTCAGCAGCAAATATTCTTATATTGTGAAATACATCTGATTCTTTCAATGTATATTATTTAATGTTTTTTCTTTTTCAGTAATTACTTTCAACAATTATTTTCTTTTTTCTTTCTTTATCTCTCACGAGATAAAAATATTTGCCCAAATATTTATATAAGAAAGAGTGATTGAGAACACGTGTCGGCGGAGAGATTGCTAATCATTAGTGGAAAAATACTTAAAGCATTGATATTTTTCAATGTTTTCGATTTTAATTATCTCTATTTCATAACAATTGCAGCAGACATTCACTCCCGGTGATTCGTCTAATCAGCTTCCACATTTTTTTTTTTAAGACCCGATTGGTAACAAATTTCAGAACGCACCCATTCGTCGTAACAAATTCGTCCCCCACCACCACTAGCTATAACCGTATTGCTTCCTCACCATCAAGAGAGTCAAGAGCGAACGTCTAAGTTATAATCTCCCGTTCGAGGATGACCGCGATGCTGTCCAACTGTTCGCGGTTTGTGCCTCGTGTAATAACAAGAATTAGTATATCACGAACGAAGGTAAATGACAAAAACAACAGTATATTGTTCGGCTTAGTTGTTAACTCATTTGTGACATACATATTGAGCAAGGACAAAAAGAACCTAACGTCGTTTGAGGGTCGAACCTGTCGACCAAAATTGTCGAAATATCACCTTTACCTATTGGCAACAGTTATATAATAGTGTCTGAACGCATTACGATTTTTCGGTCGGTCTATCAACTGTAATTTGTCAACGAGAAAGCAAAATCCGCGGCCGTCAGATGCATAGTTGCTTCTTAGATAACCAAATAGATTCTTGTACGAATTTGAGTGTCACTCAAGATCAAGGTTCTTTTCCTATCTGTTCGACAGACACAATATATCTATTTTTATCTGGTTTCTTTTAGAAATCACTTTTATGTCATAATGTGTATAAAATTATATAAACATATCAGATTTGCACATAACATATTTTAGTTGCTAATTATATACTTTAAATGAAATATTAGTGCATATGTATTGATTGATTTGATTTATATATATATATATGTACAATGTATATGATTGATATATTTGTTTTAGGTTGTGAGATCTTTATACAGTCAAGGTAAGACTACTAAATAAAAATGGCATAATAAAAAAAAAAGTGGTGAGCTATGTCGAAAATCTAAAAACATTATCTTTATAGAGAGGCATATCAACGTTGGGGATTACCATGAACATAAACTATTAATTGTATCAAATCATTTTTGTAGGGCACATTCTATTTATCCACACCCAACATGTGGTCAACAAGAACTCACGATTGTAAGTTAGAGAATTATATCAAAGTGATAAAGTAACCTTGAAGTGTAAATATTCCTTAGTTTATAGTACTGTTTCACAATACTGCTTATTTAGGATGAACTGTAATGTAAATCATTTAACAAACAAATTTTAACATGTACTCTTAATTTGTATTCAGATGTACAAAATATAAGAAATTCCACTGTTGGATAGACCAGGCAAGACATATTCATTCAACGTCTTCATTATGTAAGTCAAGAAAAAGAACTGCACGTTCAAGGCTAAACACATAAATTTTTGCATAATGTACATTTGTATGTGACAGGGGAAATAAAGGAAGTTGTAGTGCCAGCATTTGCAGAAAGCGTAAGCGAAGGAGATGTCAGATGGGAGAAGAAAGTTGGTGACCAGGTTAAGGAAGATGATGTCTTGTGTGAAATTGAAACAGATAAGGTACAATAAATACATAAATAAATTATGTACTCCAAAAATAAATCATAGCTATATTTCATAATTTGCAAGTTTACGATCATCCTTTTACAGACTTCAGTTCCTGTACCAGCACCAGGTCCTGGTGTAATAAAAGAGATATTTGTCAAAGATGGTGAAACAGTAAAACCAGGACAGAAACTATGTACCATTGACATTGGTGCAGTTGGAGCACAACCAGCTGAAAAACCAGTTGAGAAGGCTCCAAGTCCTCCTGCACCTAGTGCAGCACCACCACCACCGCCACCGCCACCGCCACCGCCATCAGCACCATCTCCACCACCACCACCACCACCACCTTCTAGAACTATACCTCCACCAGCAGCTCAACCTCCACCTCCGCAAGCACCTGCAGCATCTATGCCTGTTGCAGCGATTAAACATGCTCAAGTATGTATATCATATGAACATAAATAAATGTTCTTTCCTTCCTGTTATGAATTCTTTTGATATTCATAAAAATAAATGGAAACTTTTAGTCGTTGGAAGGTGCAAAGGTGCAACTGCCTCCTGCTGACTACACACGTGAAATCATTGGTACTAGAACAGAACAACGAGTGAAAATGAACAGAATGCGAATACGTATAGCAGAACGATTAAAAGACGCTCAAAATACGAACGCTATGTTAACTACGTTTAATGAAATTGACATGAGGTTGTTATACGTTTATCATAACTGTGATGGTTAAATTCTTCTTCCTTTTTTTTTTCTCTTTTGTTGATTACTAATTTTCTCTTTCTCTCTTCTCGTCTCGTTCTTTTACAGTCGCATCATGGAATTCCGCAAAATGCATCAGGAAAATTTTACAAAGAAGTACGGTTTGAAGCTAGGATTTATGAGTCCATTTATTGCAGCAAGTGCTTATGCTCTGAAAGACCAACCAGTAGTAAATGCTGTAATAGATGGCACTGACATAGTTTACAGAGACTATGTTGATATTAGTGTAGCAGTTGCAACACCAAAGGGGCTTGTGGTGCCAGTTCTTCGTAGCGTAGAAAACAAGAATTACGCCGAAATTGAAATCGCTTTGGCAGCTATAAGTGACAAAGCGAGGAAAGGCAAGATATCCGTGGAAGATATGGATGGTGGTACATTTACGATAAGTAACGGTGGTGTGTTTGGCTCTCTGATGGGAACGCCTATTATCAATCCACCACAAAGTGCAATTCTCGGGATGCATGCAGTATTCGACAGGCCTGTTGCAGTGAAGGGCGAGGTAAACGTCGAAAATATCACTTACGAGACGATACGAATATGATACTGATATTCAAAGTTTTTGTATAATCTCTTTTATAATTTTCAGATTAAAATTCGTCCAATGATGTATGTCGCCTTAACGTACGATCATCGATTGATCGACGGACGCGAGGCTGTGCTGTTCTTGAGAAAGATCAAAGACGCCGTGGAAGATCCGAGAATTATTTTAGCTGGCATTTAAGCCTCGTAAATATTTTTATCGAGTCGCTTCAAACACGCCTTACATCATGTTCAGAGCATTTTGTACATGTTGTATTATATTCTGTTCGTCGAGGCTTTTTGCCTCGAAAACATATTCTCAAACACTTACTAACCATTGTGATAAAAACGAAAGTAAGAAAAGAAAAAAAAATATTGCACGAATAAGAGACATCTCTACCTGGAAGGCTCTATGTTACTAACCAAGTATTATTTCGATTCGTTCGCGTCTTAATGTAAAACAGCATAAATCGATTCTTCTACAATGTACGACATACAACGATTTTTGCGTCGTAACGTTTTTAAACATCAAGTAGAACTTCATCTGAAAAGAAAATTCTTGTTTTTCTTTTTTTTTTTTAGTATTTTTTTGCGATTCAAACATAAGATGCATTCTGTAATAATTGAAAGAAATTGAAGCAACTTAAGTGTTACACATAATGTAGAACCTGTTGCTTCAAAGGATGTACATGCAAGTCTTATCCTTTATAATTGGCTCTAATAGAATTTGATTATATTTCTTTTAAACGTTTTATATCATTATTCAACGCCCTTTTTTTGTAAAAATTATACACACGACTGTTCTGCTTTTAAGACGGTCGTTTAGAGGAATCATTTTATTGTTTTTAACTCTTCTTACTCTTCTAATTTTAACGGCTTTGAACGAGATGTTACGAAGAGAAGCGATAACTGAAAAGCTAGAGAAAGATACTTTATTGCAAAGATAAGTGTATCGAAGTATTAAAATAAAATTTCACGAATCTATATGTTGTCGATATTGTTAAATTATATTATCACAAAGACTTATACATACGCTCGTGTGGTGTTCTTTGAGAAAAAAACACATCGTCGTTTTCACATCGTCTGGATACGTAAAACTGACCGAAAGAAATTCTTCATTTTTTTACATAGAGCCACGACTTTGCAATTTCATGGTGATTAGTGTCGAATACACGAATCGTGCAAACTGTTCGTAAAAAAAACATATTTCAGTTTATTATTTAATGTTATTGTTGTGTTGTGTTGCTGCTGAAAAATTTTACTGCGCATAATTGGAATAATTTTAACAATAAAAATACCTCTCGTTATCAATTTTCACCTTGTATGTCTTCTTAGATACGCCAGCGATTTTTGCATCGGTACTTTCGAAATATATCGAATTATTTCGATATATGTACTACGAGAAAAGATATCGAAATTGTAATCGATTCAGCTGGTGTAACGGGGATGACTTCGCCGTTTCGATTCGTGATCAAACAGTGAATGTAAAATGGTATCTTGAAATTTTCCTAATTATTTATAAATTAAACAACTTGCAAAGCTTCAAATTTCACTTAATCTAACAACATTTCCAATCGATTAATCTTTGTTGAAAGTTATCATTTTCTTTCGAAACAAATCTACTCTTATCGTTTGACATTTTAGGTTATTTCAATTCGTGATTTACTTTGTGATGAATTTCACATTTAAATTGAAACTTATGCTTCCATTCTTTTTTTTTTTCATTACATTGTATTAAAAGTGTTGCGCGTTTCAAAATTAGAATTATCTTGATATTATTTTTCTTTTTGCAAACAGGGACAGAATCAATCTGGTGCTGGTGGTACAGGAGGTGACAAGAAAGATGATAAAGACAAGAAAAAGAAATACGAACCATCTATCCCGACAAGAGTGGGCAAAAAGAAACGGCGTACAAAGGGGCCTGATGCTGCTTTAAAATTACCGCAGGTTACACCTCACACACGTTGTAGACTGAAGCTTCTGAAGTTGGAACGTATAAAAGATTACTTGTTAATGGAGGAAGAATTCATTAGAAATCAAGAGAGACTGAAACCACAGGAAGAAAAGAATGAGGAAGAAAGATCGAAGGTTGATGATCTGCGAGGGACTCCAATGTCTGTAGGGACATTGGAAGAAATAATCGATGATAATCACGCTATAGTTTCTACATCAGTTGGCTCTGAGCATTATGTATCAATTTTGTCATTTGTGGACAAAGATCAATTGGAACCAGGATGTTCCGTTTTATTAAATCATAAAGTTCATGCTGTTGTTGGAGTTTTAGGCGATGATACAGATCCTATGGTCACAGTGATGAAACTAGAGAAAGCGCCGCAAGAAACTTATGCAGACATTGGTGGTACGAAGTATTTATTATATCATTATTAGAAATGTCCACGTAATGTTATACATCTATAAACATACTCGATTGTTTAGGACTTGATACACAAATCCAGGAAATCAAAGAGTCTGTAGAATTACCTCTAACACATCCAGAATATTATGAAGAGATGGGTATTAAACCTCCGAAAGGAGTCATACTTTATGGTCCTCCAGGAACTGGGAAGACGTTGTTGGCGAAAGCTGTTGCTAATCAAACTTCTGCAACCTTTCTGAGAGTTGTTGGCTCTGAGCTTATACAGAAATATTTAGGGGATGGTCCTAAACTTGTTAGGGAGTTGTTTAGAGTCGCGGAAGAACATGCTCCTTCTATTGTATTTATAGATGAAATAGATGCTGTTGGTACAAAACGGTACGACAGCAACAGTGGTGGGGAGCGTGAAATTCAAAGAACTATGTTGGAACTCCTCAACCAACTTGATGGTACGAAAAGCATTTTAAATTAAACTATGTATATGTATTCTAGTAATAAAGTATTTTTATTCATCTAGGTTTCGATAGTCGCGGAGATGTTAAAGTTGTAATGGCTACAAATAGAATTGAAACATTAGATCCAGCACTGATCAGACCAGGCCGTATCGATAGGAAAATAGAGTTTCCGTTGCCTGATGAAAAAACGAAAAGAAGAATATTCAGTATTCACACTAGCAGGATGACTTTAGCACCTGATGTAAATTTAGCAGAATTAATTATGGCTAAAGATGATCTTTCAGGTGCAGATATAAAGGTAAAACATTGTATAAATGGTATTTAAATAGGAAAAGAATTGGAACAGAATGAAGAAGAAATATCTTTATCTTTTAGGCTATATGTACTGAAGCTGGTCTAATGGCATTACGCGAACGTCGTATGAAAGTTACTAGCGATGATTTCAAGAAATCTAAAGAAAGCGTTTTATATCGAAAGAAGGAGGGATCTCCCGAAGGATTATATTTATAAGGATATTGTACTTGACATTCTTTGTTTACAATTAAAGCATAAAAACATACATGCTAATAAAAATATACAAAAAATTTGTCTTGATTTGTAAATTAATTATCTAAATCTGGAACATCTTGCATTTTTAATATATCTGGCTCGCTGATATTTAACTGCTTTACATATGGTTGAAAATACTTGTACAGCGTTTGAAGAACTTGCATGGAGTATGATCTTTGTTCATCAAGGATTTCGTCGAAATTCTTGTTTGTATTGTATATATCCTGAAATTCTGCTGCACATATATTACACGCGCCTCTTCTCGTTTTATCAAGAATTTCTTTTATATTTTGCGGGTATTCGGCATCTCTTGGTATAGAATTGAACAAACTTTTAAACTTTCCTAGAATAAAAGCTGTTTGAAAACCTTCCTTGTATCCATTATCAAAACTTTCTTGAAAAACAAAATTTGACCCGTCATCCACTCCTTTCCTATAACCACCCTTAAGAAAACAATATATTTAGAATAGATACAAAAAACATTGTTCTTTTCTATAATTTTACATTGATTACATTTACATCTGTAATTGTGATGTAATTGTTATTACATCTGTAATTTTGAAGATTGTACCTTTTTAGCAGCATCAATAATTCGATCCCAGTTTTTAGCGGCAATATTCAAAGAATCTTCAATATCCGATTCAGTTGAGGAATTTTCCATATTCTATAAGTAACGATACAGTTGATGTAATTTTATTACTACGAACAAATCACTGAAAGTGTGGAAACATAACCTAGCAAATACTGAAAATAATCAAACGAAACGTATTTTTAATTTTATGAGAGTACAATGGAAACAGAAGCTGGCACTTCGAAGGAACAGGATACAACTAACACGGACATGAATTCCTACGAAATAATTGAACAAAAGTAAGTTATTTCATTTTACTAATTCATTTTACTAAAATTAACGACATTTATCACGTACATGGTCAATAGGTTAGGTTATAACTATTATGCATTACTTATGCATAATATAATCATGTTATTATACAATAGATTCCATATATTATTATTATATTTGAACAAAACATTTAAATAAATGATACTTTAAATTTCCAGAATACTTACATTAGCGCAAGCAAGACCCAAGGGAATATCCGACAAAGACTTAATCACCGAAATGCCAGATTTGCAACCTGCTCAAAGAGCTCAAATTATAAATAAACTTTTATCTCAAGGTCATTTTGATTTATTCAAGCAGGGCAGCTCTTTGTTGTATCGTTTGAGAGACCCTTCCAAGGCAAAGATAGCTAAGGGTGCAGACAACGAGGAAAAGATCGTGTATTCCATTATTGAAGAAGCAGGGAACAAGGGAATTTGGATTCGTGACATAAGATTTAAGTCCAATTTAATGCCCACCCAGTTGAGCAAAATTCTGAAAAGCCTGGAGATCAAGAAATTTATCAAAGCTGTTAAATCTGTTGCGGCCAGTAAGAAAAAGGTGTATATGCTGTATAATTTGGAGCCAGACACATCCGTCACTGGTGGTGCTTGGTATCAAGATCAAGATTTTGAGGCAGAATTTGTTGACGTTCTCAACCAGCAATGTTATAGATTCTTGGAGAAAAAACGGGAACAAATGAATTCTTGTAGGGGTGGGCCAATCATGGCCAGAAACGTTACATTTGCCTCATCTAAAGAAGTATGGAAATTTATCTCTGATCTAGGAATAAGTAAGGTTCGGACAATTATTACAATTTTCTTCTATATCTCGTATCTATGGATATTAAAAAAAAAGGAAAATATAAATTCATAGGTGAAGCTATCCGTTGAAGATTTAGAGATGATATTAAACACCTTAGTTTACGATGGAAAAGTAGAACGTACTCTTTCAGGTGATGGAAGCATTTTATACAGAGCAATAGAACCTTTGCTAGATTCACCTGGATTAATTAAATCTACTTGTGGTGTCTGTCCTGTAAGCTATTTCATTATTATTATTCCTCCTATTATTATTTCTTCATGTATATTTGTTTCTGATTTAATAATATAAAAATATTAATCATGTAGGTAAGAAAACATTGCTATGATATTGGTGATGTTACACCTACAAAGTGCCAATACATTACAGAGTGGTTGGAATAATGTTTGCAATAAAAACATGAATTAATCATTTATTTGTGTACACTTTACACATACAGTTACGTAAAGAAAAAAACAAAACAATTATATAAGGTACATCTAAAATTATATACAATTTTGTAATATTGTAGTATCATAATATTAAAATTGACCATTACTATGTAATATTAATATTAGACAGAAGCATTTCATATTATTTTATATTTCATAACAACGACTGCAATAAAATATATTGTCATTTTAAACATATAGGAATTAATTTCAGTTATTTTGCCTCCACTAAATTGCGAATATATCCCGCCAAAATTTGTTACGCTGACGCATATTTAAACCGGATGCAAGTTACCAATTTCAAAAAAATTAATATGTTACTTCACACCTTACGCGTCTCGTGATAAATATCTTCCGTTGATAATATTTCAAGTGCTTATATAATAATTATACGAACTGCATTAACATTGAAAGAGCAGAAATTTGTCGAGTTAAAAAATTTCGGACGTATTTACAACGTTGAACGTTGTTGCGCGATTGTTATTTGTTTCCCGCGTTTTAAACGACAACCGAAAGTTGGCAACACTACTTCTTTTCGTTGGCTTCCGGCATTGAGATGCCAGATGTGAATGCGCGCTTCCACGAGCACCGTTAAATCGTGCTTTGTCATGAAATTCGAAATGTTTCGTGAAACGATGTCAGAAGTTTCGTACGCACGGTGAACGAATCGGTGAGTTTGCTAATCGAGTGAGTCGACAACGAGCCAACTGGCCAGTATTGAAAAGTTATCGAGACATCGTACGCGTTCGCAGGAGATAGCGTGTGTCGCATGTGTTTGGCAGTGTTCCGGAAAGGAGTGTGTCCACTGTCCCCGACGAGCAGGATTGATTTGCAATTCGCCAGGAACGCGAATCAGGACGTGCACCGGCGCGACGGTACACTCGGAGTGTGTTGACATGCCGCTTCTTCGCAAACAGCCGTTCCAACGTCTTCACGTCTCGTCGGATTTCAAAGACGATGACGAGGTTTTCCATTGCGAGGTTACTAACGAAATCTTCAAGGACTACAAGTAAGACCATGACAGCTAGGACAACCTTGAAACGCGTTATCTTGTTTTGTCGTTGCGATCTCTCAGCCTAGCCTGTTTTGTACTCCTTTGACATCGTCTTTGTTGTTTCTTTCCGTTCTCGGAAATAGTACACGCTTGTACGCTTGGTTAATTTTTTTGTCACTGTACAACGTTTGCCTTGCATCGAACGGGTGACGTTAAAAAATACGTTGCGTTGTTGCTAAAAAAATGCGAAAGTATCTAGATTATATATACAGATATATGGTATTATATACCGTATGATGTCAAAGATTGCATGAATGTAAAATTCATTTTGTTAGTTTGTTGTGCGTTTAAGTTTGTATTTATTAAATGATTATTTTCTTTATTTTGTAATGATGCTCAAATCTGCTGTCTGCAATGTTAATAATATTGAATTTATACTGTTATATTGTATGATTGCAGTGAATTCTGCGAAAGAATTATTTTATGCAATTCACTCATATGGTCATGCAGCATAACTGGCAGAACTAACATGACTTTTGAGGAGGCTTTACAATGCGAAGAAAATGCTAAGAGAAGCCTTAAAGAATTTCCCATGGAGGTACGACTTTTGATCAGAGTCTTGCAATGTATTGAAATTTCAAATTCATTGATCACATATGTTCTATATTGCAGCTGCGTATACCTATATTGTACCTTGCCAGTAAAACGAACAGGTCGTCCTTTAAAGAAATGATAGAGGATGTGTATCAGTTTGCGAGAGATCGTTATTTTGTTGGTGAAATGGTAGAAGCAAGTTTCACAGAGGATTCTTGGTGTGATTGCCATGTTCTGCAAGTTATTGCACCTTCGGAGCAGCAAATTAAATTGTACAATAAAGAGAACAGCAGGTAGAGATCTATTTATGTGTTATATGCATGAGAATGCACTCGTATCATTATAATGTAAGTTCATTGCACAGAACTCCACAAGAACAGCAGTATCATCCGCCAGCGAAATTATTTCGTTATGAAGTGGAACAGTTAGACTCGGGGGATTCCGATGTTACTCAACTTATGATAGTAGAAGCGGCACAAGTGAGAAGAAGGAAACAGCATTACAGCAAAGAGCGTAATAAAATTTTTCTACGTCAGTTATGTGAACAGAATGAAAGTGGAATATGGGTTATTAAAGTTAGTACTAAAGTTATCAGAGATAACACGGAAATATTCTGAATGTATTGATGAACAAAATATTTTATGCATTTCTAGGATAGCGTTTTACAAAAATATGGTATTAATAAAGTACGTTTTGATACTATATTCGCTGGTCCACCTCCGGATTTTACATCACGCATTAAAAAGCCTGTTAAACACAAACAAGAATCAATAGATAAATTTCTTACTACAAATGTATCGAAACAGAAGTTAGTGGAGAAGCCTGATCCATTGAAAAAAGTAAATCAAGAAGGTGTGGATATAAAAAAGTTTCGAAAACCAAGGTAAAATAACGAATTAAGAATAGTATCTAACATAACTGTAGTATCTAATAATTAAAACTGTAAAACTTTTCAATAGAACAAATGGAAAATTTAAAGAACAGCTTAAAGCAAAGGCTCTTGAAGAAAAAGCGAAACGCAAGGAAGAAAGAGTATTGAAAAATGAGCGTAAAAAGGAAGAGAAACAAAAATCAGCAGCTTTAGCTGCATATATAAGACAATGGAATAAACCAAGGGAGGATCTTGAATGTGAAGATCTTTCTCCTATTCCACAAGCTACGCCGTTCAAAAGTAGCATACCCAATGAAAAATTCGGCGATAGTGTAATGATTCTCGAATTTTTAGAATTTTTTAACGAAGAACTGGAAGTTAGTGCATATTTTCCAAATGGTTTCACTTTAGATCTGTTGGAAAAAGCATTGTTAGTGAAAGAAACATCTGGACCCTGGAGTGATCTTCTACAGTTGCTATTAGGAAACATTTTTAAATACCAAACAGATGAAGAAGACGAGATTCATGCTCAGGCATCTGATATAACGAACGATGTTAGCATGAATGAAGGAGTATTATCAATGACAAAAGCTGTAAAACTTTCTACTATGGTATCTAGTTGGAGTCAGATACACCAAGGTTGCAAATTATCTGAATTGACATTAGATCATGTAACTTTAAGCGAAATTTTAAGACAACACTTGCTATGCTCCGGAGGACGAATTGGAGACGTTGCTACAAAGTGGAGATATTCGCAAAGAGGTATATATACATTTAGCATACAATTGTGCTGATAAATCAAGCGATTAATTAATACTTCTTCTTAATATTTCTTCAGGTGGTTATACAAACCAAGATGATCCCGCACTGTTAATGAGAATAAATGAGGCATATATCTTGAGATTGCTAGGTCATCGTAGTGTTCACGAATTTGAGCTAGATGAGAAGTTAAAAGTGGCTACGTGCTTGATAAACCAGTTGCTTACTTTCGCTTCAATACGAGACGTGATAGAAGAACGACGTGAAAAACTTCACCAAGCAAAGAAAGAATTGAGATCTTTCTTAATAGCTGAACAACGAAAAGAAAAAGAAGAAAAAGAAAAAATGAGAGAACGGGAAAAAGATGGCGAAAGTAAAGCACCAAAGAAGATTACACGCGGTAATTGTGAAGAAGGAAAAAAGAAAGAAGAATATGAAAATAAATTAAAAGAACTTCAGGAAGCATCCCGAGATGACAAAATGATGGTTTATTTAGGTTCAGATAGGGCTCATCGTAGATATTGGAGATTTTTATCAATACCAGGTAATTTTATGATTTTGTACTGTACAAGTTTAATGGATGGAAAGTGTAGATTTATATAAATTTCACGTTTTTCTTATAGGAATATTTGTGGAGAATGATGAGTGGTGGTCTGGTAATTGCCTTCCTGATGGTACACCTTATCAACCAGAATTATTAGATACAGAAGCTATGCATGCATACTTAAAAAATAAATTTGAAGATGAGTTTAGCGATAAAGAGAATAGTTTCAAGAAAGCAAAGAAGTCTCCTAAGAAAGTTTCGTTCTCTGACAAAAATGTCCTTAAATCTCCGAGGAAAGATATATCCCGAAAAGAATTTAAACAAGAATTATTTGAGATTAGAAAAAATTTAATGGCTTGTACAGGGAATAAAGAATGCCCTGTGCATTGTAAGAGACCAGAATTGAAATGGAGTTTCTATGGGAAGCAAGAAGACATAGAAATTTTAATAAATGGTTTAAATAAGCGAGGAATTAGAGAAGGTGAACTCAGAAATAATATTATACAAGAAATGACAAGCATAATGTCTGTGATTGAGGAATGTCCTAGGCATAAACTTAATCCTGAAGTCGTAAGTGTTTCATAGTGTTTTTTCATTCTTTTAAAATCAATTTTATTAAGTAAATTTTCGGTATAGTTTTCAGAACCTATCAAAGTGCATCCTAACAAAATTTCAAAGAAGAACAGATATGAAAGTGCCAACTTAAATTTCCCTTCAGAAGTGTCAATCGATATGGTTTTAGAATTAACTCTAAGAGATTATATCTTAGACTTTGAAGATAGAGTGAAAGGAGGAGGTCTTGGAAGTTTGAAAGTTAACGATCGTGAAATCTGGAGGGACGCAATAAACAAAAAGAAATATGATAAACAATGCGATAAATTAACGTATGGTACAAATGAAGTTGAACCAGATATTCTTTCTGATGCGTCGTTAGATAAAGTTAAGAATGAAATTAAACACAGTAGACCTGGAACTCCAGATTCAGAAGTTGGAAGTATTAATATAAAAACCTACAAAGACTCGGGAAAATATTTAGGTCCACTAAGTGAAAATGAAATAGTTCCGGATTTAAAACAACAGTTAACTATTAAGCAAATGGCTTGCGCTATTTTACAGTTGTCCCAGGCTATTGAGCAAAAGTACTTACAGAAACCGTTAGGTGGTGAGAAAGATAAAAAGTCCGGCGAAGATACTAGGGAGAAATGGGAACAATCGCTTATGGCATCGACAAGCTGGTCACAATTGTTTCTACACTTGAATACTCTAGAAAATAGTGTTGCATGGAGTAGAAGTGCATTAAATGCTCAGTGTCGGGTATGCAGACGGCGACGAGACGGCGATAAAATGTTACTGTGTGACGGATGCAACAAAGGCCACCATTTATATTGTTTACAACCAAAACTAAATGTAAATTTTTCTTTTTAAATCCCTTTTTCTTAACTTGTATTACTATACATAATAAATATTTATTTATAGAGTGTGCCGGATGGAGATTGGTATTGCAAGATATGTAAGCCATCGACAAAACCAAAAGAAAAAATTAAGAAGAGAACAAAATTTGAGGATGAATTGGAAGAAGATGTAATATTAACCAAAGAAACTCGACATATTCGTACAAAACGTGTTCTTGAAAGCGAGGAAGAAGGAGAGTCAGATGATAAAGATTTAGAAGACGATAGTGATGATGATATGTACGTGTTATTTTAAAAAATATTTGATGTCTCAGTAGACTACTATTATAGATATTATTAGCAAAAAATGCTTCAATAATTAACATATGTTCCAGAAGTAATCAACAAATAAATGTTTGCTCTGTGTGCAAAAACAGTGGAAAATTAATCAGTTGCGATATTTGTTCAAGCTTTTATCATGTAGAATGTTTAGAACCTCCTATGACTAGACCACCTCGAGGAAGATGGATTTGTTCAGAATGCAAGGATAGGAAAGACAGACGAACAAATATGAAATACGGTAAATATTATGACACACTCAAATTCAATGGCAAAGGAAATGCTATGATGAACTTTGAAAATATTGCGCTACTTTATAATATTTTGTTATCATTTCATGTTAACATTTTAGTAAATTTTAATTTAAATACTAATGTAATAAAGCAGTTTCTTAGTTCTAATTATGTTGTTAGTGAGGGGGCGTGAAAGGGAAAGGGACAAGGAGAGACTGTGCGCTGCAGCAGCACGCTCTCGCATCCATGGCTTTGCCAAGAGCCTCCTCACTACAGAATCTACAGACTGGGACGGTCTGTATTGTAACTCTATTCTCTTTTACGTAGTATGAGTACAGACTTTTTTTTTACAAATATGATAATATAATAATATGATAATATAATAATAATAATAATATTTGATATAATAATCACATGATATATTGCTTTATACATTTGTCCGTTATTAAATTAGAATAAATTAACTTTGTCGCATGTGTACGTTCAGGTGGTTTCTTCTTCTGTAAAAGCAAAACGTTAAAAGTTTATATTAAAATTGCTTTTTCCTTTAACTATACTTACACTTTCTTTGAGCTAGTAATTTTTTCTATTTTTGCATTAACTATTTCAAAAAAATGTTCAGATCCTAACATTAATATTAACATTTAGTTGCATATAAATATATTTTGATATGCAGACAGCAGTACGTCAGAAGATACTGAACCAAGACAAACTAGGAGAGCAGCTAAGAGAGCTGCTGAAATTGAACAAGAAGAAGATAAGGGAACAATCAAAGGGTGTATGGGAAGATTGCAGGAATTGCTTTCAGATATTAGACATCACAGAGATTCGTGGCCTTTTCTATCACCTGTTACAAAAGACGAAGTGCCAGATTATCATGATATTATTTCCAATCCTATGGATTTTGGTACAATTAAATATAAACTTAATAATAGCGAATACGAAACGTTGGAACATTTCTTCAGCGATTGTCATTTAGTATTTAAAAATTGTCAAGCTTATAATGAAGAACACAGTTCTGTCTACAAGTGAGTATAAATAATATCAATATTTTTGTACGTTAGTTCGGACGCCAGAGATTGCGAGATAAACTAATACTACTGATTAATATGCTATGTTCATACTGCAAGTATTTAAACGTTAACTTTATATGTGTGCTAATATTAACATTTTCACATTATTTACATTATTTACGCACGTTTATTTATATTATTAAATTAATTTGTGTCTTTAATACTAAAAGATAGAAATGGGTAGCATGTATTTGTAATTAATAAATGTATTTAAATAATAAATAACAAAAAGTACAATAACTAAATATTACAGAAGCATAATGTTATGAACAAATAAATAAAGTATATTTTTTGTTATTAAACTAAATTTTACAGTGATCTAAATATATATCTTAAAATCATTATATAATATAGAACTGAAAGAAATTATTATAATAAAAATTAGGACAATGCTCATTTAGGTTCAAAATCTTTGGCTTCCGAACATTTAAAATAATACAGATTTTGAAAGTTAGGCTATGTCTTTTTAAAAATAGTTACGTATACAGAGCAGGTATCAGATTGTTGAAGTACTACGAGAAACGATGCAAAGAATTAGGATTGACGACATATGAAGAATTACTACGATCTTCGGATGCAAAGAAGTCGAAACTCGAAGAAAATGGTCTTTCAATTAGCGAAGATGAAGACACAGAAAATATTCAAAAATCAAGATAGAGATAAAATACTTTCTTTAAGCTGTTATATTTATTGATATCAATTTTTACTCCTAATACGTAAATTAAATGTACCTTGATACTAAATTTGTACACAGATGTTGATACTAAATTTGTGTACAGATTCATGATTCAACAAAAGAAATTCTGTAAAGTATATATTATTAAAAAAGAAAAAGAGAGACTCCGTTTACTAAATATTAGAAAATATTGCATAGAATTTTATGAAGTTCATCTATTGAAAGAAATGATGAAACGCAAGCTTAAAAGTGTTTAAAATATTTTCTTTCTAATTGTCAAATATCCCCTTTTCTTAGGCTTGCTATATTGAAAAAAAAAACAGTATTATTTGTAGAATTTTATGCATTCTTACTCTTGCATATCGTTTGTAGGAATTTACTGTTTAATGTGTAAATTTTATAAGTGAACAAGCACGTGAACAATTTTCATATGCTTGAGCTAGTAGTCTTTTGAATTAGTATTATCATAAATGAACTTTTTGTTATCAGGCAAGTTTTTACTATATTAATAATTATTTATTATTTTAATATTATTCATTCAATTACATTTCGTATATGATAAGCAAATTTTGAGAATTACTTAAATACATCCTAAACTTTGAAAAACTTTGCTTTGACAAATTTATGTAAAATGTTACACACTACCTGCCTTTTATAATGTCAGTGCGAAGTAGATTACGCATAACATGACTGATGATTTAAGAATTAATATATACATAATAGAAATCAAGAATTTTTCTATTATAAAAACGAAAAAAAGTAATCATGCATTGATATAAATACAGTTGCTATATCTTTACTTATAAAGATTTTACTGGGATTTAAATGTATTATTATGTAATGTATAGAATTCTTGGAACTTAAAAATTTTATTATTTAAATATTTTTGTTTTAGGTCTTGTCAAATTGTTAACATATTTATAGTACTTATTTTCTTTTTTGCTTTCTTTTTTTTAAAGAATTAGTCTATTTTTGAGAAGTTATAAATTATAGGCATGCCTCACGTAAAATTTACGGTACAAATTATTATTAATCTCCACATTGTACAGTAGAAGCAGTTCTTTGTAATCATATATGTTTTATACAATTAATTTGGTAATAAACTTTTGAAATAGATTTACATAGACAATTTGAAACTATACACATACATATACATATATATATATTTCTTTTTCGAATAGACTACAATATTTTTAAACACAATTTAATGATGCATTTCTCCAGAGAATTGTTTTTCGTGAATTTTTCTCCACTTTTCCACATTTGCTGGATTAAAACCTGTAATGTAAAAACAAAAAGATATTAGTCACACTAATGTCTCTACTATGTCTATAAGCATGAATATATAAACAATTTCAAATGAGGTTCTCAAACTCATTGTACTTACTTGCTTTTTGGATTTTATAGTAAATAGGTAAACAAATTAATATGCCAAGTGTCCAATATCGTAATAACCAACCATGCTTGGATACAAAGAAATAATGATGAAATGGAAATCGTCTAAATTTTGCAGCCAGAGAATATGGGTACTTCATTTGTTCTCCAGCCATGGCTAAAATCAATTCAATGTTGATTTTTATTGTTTATAGCTAGTGTCTGTATTTGCATTTTGATACTTGACATATTCCAAGCGATATTCCATGGAAGAACATATAATAGTTTTAGTTTGTAAAGTGATAATGCTTAATTATCGAAACTACATGATCAGAAATTTTTGCACCAAAAAAAAATATTTTTGTTTCTTCAAAGATCTTGTAAATTCAAATCAGTTAATATACTTAGTTAATAAAGGGTGATCTGTATAGAATAACAACTAAATGAAATTTATCTGATAACTATATTCGTACAATTTTTTTTTCTTTTTTTTTATGTAAAATATCATCACAAAATTAAAATACAGTTTCATGAGAATAATATTACATTTATCGCGTGAAAAATAAGTTTCCTTTGCATAATCAGTATGTATACTTTATAGTCTTTATATAATTTTAGTTTATATTATTCGTCCGTTAAATGTTTGTAAATGTAACATCAAAATGAAATGTAACATATTTCACTTACCTTTTGTCGATTTAAGACACGATCTTAATTGATTGACAAAACGATTCTATTATTATTGCCAACGGCCGTGGAATAATGTTACATAACTAGGTCCTAGTAAAATATCGAATAAAATATATCGATAAACATCGAGTCGCTTACATCGCAGTCCAAGATTTCAAATTTTATTGGTTCCAATCGGACCAATCAAATCTCAAGAGAAAGAAAAAAGAACCGAAGAAATCCGTTGAAATGTTGGAAACTCTGCAAAAATTTTGAAAAGTGACATTTCAATGACGAGGAATAAATGAAAGTCAATTACCGACGACCGAAAATATTAAAAACGATCGATGATATCTGTGATGAAAATCAAATACGAGTCTACGTAAATGAAACTCGTATATCTTGTTAATCAAGATACATTTCATATTCTATAAATCTGCTTTATGACGGTGTGACATGCGATCATAAAGGAAAGTAAACTTTTAACACAGACTTATCGAGTTAATCCTTGGAATAAAATACGAGAAGTATACCGATATTTCAAGGTAGCTACGTGGAAGCGTAACCTTGTGGTTACAATAAGATCAAACGGAATATTCACAAACGTCCTCATACGCACTGGTCTGAACAAAAACGCGGAAGATAAAAATATATATATCTATCAAACGTGTTTCACTAATAATCTGAAATAGCGTGTGTACTTGCCATGAGTTCCATAGAGGTTATAAACGCTTGTGTTACTTTTGAACTTGAACGAATTGAATTCAAAGAATTTCATTTATTGTCCATATGTCTGTAATTAATACGTAACGTTGGCCTGATAAAAAGCAATATGTTACTGAATTTAAAACTTCTTTTTTTTTGAATTTATAATGTTTCAAATGGTAAATAGTTAATTATCAACTAATTATTGTTTGTTTGTCGGACATTGACAGGGAAAATGTCTTAAAGATCTGGAAAACGACTTGTTTAACCCGAGCGTGTTGAAACAACTGTCTTTGCCACAGAGCAATGGTTTTTCAATTAGACCTTTAAAGTCAAAGGATTATGACAGAGGTAAAATAAAGATTATAAAACAATCATCATCGCTAACATACGCAGTTCATTAATTATCTATAATATTTATTTATTAAGGTTTCCTTCAACTTTTGGCTCAACTAACTGAAGTTGGAAATGTCAGTAGAGAACAATTTCTTAGTAAGTTTTCTAAAATTCAAGGAATTCATCTCTAAATGTGATTGTAAGAATTTAATTTTCATACATGTAGATCGTTTCCACATGATGAAAAATGCTGGTAATTATTATGTTGTTATAATAGAGGATGTAAATGATGAAAAAATAGTAGCAACTGCAACTTTAATTGTGGAGCAGAAGTTTATTCATAATTGTGCGGTGGTACGTTTTCTTCTCTTCATTTTTGAAATTTTTTTTTTATATATAGCAGTACCATTCTCGACAAGAGCAAAAAATTTATTACAGAGAGGTCGTTTAGAAGATGTAGTAGTAAACTCTGAATACCGTGGTAAGCATCTAGGAAAGCTGGCAGTCAAAATTATATTACAATTATCACATTATTTAAGATGTTATAAGTTAACACTAGATTGCAAAGATCATTTAATACCATTTTATGAAAGCTTGGGTTTCAAACGCGAACCTAATAATGCGAATTATCTTAACATGAGATTTCCTGCAGAAGCTACTGCAGAACAGTCTCATTTATGATAATAGAAGAGAAACGATATCTAAAATTGTTTTAAAAAAATTTACGATTTGAATCGTTACACAGATTTAGCTCATCAATTTTAAGCAAAAATTTCTACTATATTTGTTTCAAGCATTTGAAAAAAAGAATTATTAGTCCTTTTGAAAACTTTTTAATCGATGAACTGTCGCAACGTGAATCAATAAATATAACATAGGATGTACAGGTTAAAAAATTATTAATATGCAATTATATTTTACTGAATATATATATAATACATATTTTATAAGAATATATAATGCAATAAACAATGTTAAAAAAAAAAAACAATTCAAAATTGATTTTCGATAGATACCAATCGGTCACTAACAGGAAAAAATACTTATTTCACATTCATCATTTTTTTAATTTCTTCGTTTTGTTAAATACATGAACGCAGTCATTAAATGGCAATTAAATTAGGGTTTTTTAACAGCGACGTTATTTCGTAGTTTTATCGCTCTTTTTGCTTCCATTTGTCTTTGCCTGGCTAGTTTACGCTCTTCTCGTTTTCTTCTGGCTTCTTCCAATTTATTATTTCCGCTAATCGTATTGGTACTTTCAACGTTTTCTTATATAAAGGAATTAATTTCAAATTAATAGATTATGTTAACATAAGTTATAAGGATGGCGTGGAAACACAGACATACCTGATTGTGTGTGTTCTAATGGTTGAAAATCTTCTAGAGGTTGAAATTCTGAGTCCTCCCAACCGACGTCAGAAGATTCATTCTTATCTTCGATATTTTGTGCTGCTTCTTCCTCCTAAAAGTAATATTTCAATTTTTCTTTTTTGTTTTATTTAGTGTGCTGATATACTAGTATGTGAAGCTTCAAATAATACAAACTGGTTCTTCTTCAAGACTTGTCCACTGATCATTAGGTTTAGGAGAATGAGGAGAAGGTGAAATATTACTTGGTCCATGTCCTGGTGTATTAGAAGATTGCTGTTCCATATCACCCCAATTGTCAGCATCCCAATCCCAATCACAATCTGAATTTGCGTTTGTAGCATTTTGTAAATCGTGTTCATGATCATGGTCTAACGAGGTCATACTTGTAGCGCTACTTGTTGTGGCAGTTGTACTAGCACTGCTTTGTGAACTGCTAGCTTGCTCTGTAATTTTATCACACATTTATATAAAAACTATTTCACAGTAGTAGAATAAAAATATATATGTAAATTAAGTACCTAAAGAGGCAGGTTTGTTTAATAAAATTCTAGATACGTTATGTGAATTTGATGATTTAGGTGTATCTGACTGACTGCGATAAAATTTAGCAGTAACAGCTGTCACAGCCCAACCAGCCCATGTTGCGGCTGCATTGCTAAGACTTGGTGTAGCTGTATTTACGTCAGCCTCTGAAACCGTATCGTTTATATTACTAATCATGTTGATTATTTTCTTGTAGATAGAACCTTCGAATTATTTCAGTACCCATAGATTCGCGTAATCCAGGATCTTCTGATACTCTCTCGAGTTTCGATAAAAACCCACGAATAGTACGAAATGCGTTATCTCTTACTCCTTTGTCCATGTCTGTAGTGAGTGGACACAGAGCTGGTAAAATACGATTTGCAACTTCTTGTAATAGAAAGTATTGTTGCGTTGCAGCTAATGCTAAAATACTCGCTGCTCTAGCCGGTGGAAATGGATCTCGTGTACCTCGAATAAATGCTCCAATTAATACCTACGATAACGTTATATATTTGTAATCTTTATTATTAGACACGACTACACTTTGTAGCTTGTTTGAATTACTTTCTGTCTAATCTGAGGATGAAGATGTTGAGCAATTTTTCCTAAACAAACTGTGGTATTAGTACGTATGCCGCCGTGTTCATCTTTCGACTGAAGTTTAGCAAAGTACCTCAATGTTTCCACATTAAGATTATTATAATCTAATTTTGGTGCTAAGTGTACGACAGATTTTATCGTTTGTTCCCTAATTGCAGCGTTTGTGTCTAAAAAACCTTTGGCTACCTGCAATATCAAAATATCTTGAATCTTTTTTTTGTTTTTGCGTAACAAAAAAAAGAAAAAAAAATATTTATGATTACCTGTGGGAAGATTGCTTCATTAACTGTTGCTGGTTGCAAATGATCAACAAATCGGTCTAATTGTTGCAACAATCTTAATCTTGTTGCTCTATCGTTGGATGCAAATAATTTCACGACGCATGGTACAACTCTCCGTTGATATTCAACATCAGGGAGTTGGCAGCCAAGTTGTAATAGAGGAGGTAATACTGCACTACCGGCGTCGCCAAATTCGAAAGCAGCCAGTAATTGTGGTAAAATTTTATACCTGCCAACACCATCTGGAAACGATTCTAACTGGCCAGCAAGTTGCGCGAAAAATCGTCCCTTTTCTCCTCTTTCTTTCATTTGAATTTCCTCTAAGAATAAAAGTGCGTCTACTAATTCGGTTTTAAAAAATCCTCCATTACTGCGGCAACGTGCTATTACATCGGCAGGATTTGGTCTTCCTTCTGCGTTGCTACTGGTCAATTCACGATATATGACTTGCAATTGTTTTGGAATCTAAAAGAGACATCATTTCCAAAAGTTTAAAATAAATATTTATCTCGCGGATAAACAAAACACATACCTTATCAGTAATTTTAAGCTGCGAATTCGAAGTTAGTGGACCATTATATGTTTCCCAGATCAGGCATCCAAGTCCCCACATGTCAACTGAGCTGTTTTTTTATTTATTCATCAGTTTCTTAGTGTTAACAATAAACCTAAATGTTTACATATAGAAAAGCTAGTATTGTAGTGTAATTTTAGAAATAAAATAACTATATTCTATTATTCACCAAAAACAAGAAAATTACATTGTTAATATTTTATGTATTAAATAAGTCGTTGCTATGAACAGAAATATAGTTGGTTTATCTTTTTCTCATTAAAGTATAATTTTGCAATACACATGTCCATCTTTTTTAGTAAGAATAACGAGAAGAATTCTAGGCAATAATATATATAACATGAAATTTTCCTACTCCTATCATAAATCTCTTTTACCATTTGGTGGCTGGCATTACATTTTCCTTAATATCGAGAGGGTAATATACTTCAAACGTCTGTGGCAATGTATTGTAAACAGCATCTACTGCTGTCATGTATTCGACACCGCCAAGTTTCCATTCCCCACTTTCCTCATTAACAAACACAGTCCACAAATTGACATTGTTATGTCGTAGGTTACCATCGTTATTTAGAAAATTCAATGCTCTCTAGAAAATTAAAACATATATACATGTAGTAATATGCTACAAAATGATATATTACTTCTTATACATACAGTGATCTGGAATATTCCCCAAGAAAAATATAATTGCTTCTTAGATTCATCATCGTTATCAGATTTTCTTGTCAATCGACTGTACAAAGTTTCTACGCGTTCGGTTGCTAAATAAATTACTTTATTCGTCTGAAATTATCAAGAATGTATTATGTCACTATGTATTCATATTTCTAATGCGATATACCATTATCATTGTAATGTACCTCAAAACTATCAAGATATGCAAGTATACTCGGATGTCTAAGTGTTTTTAATCTCTTCACTGCCGAACGAGCTATGTTCAAAAGGTGTTCATTACTGGTCTTGCACTCAAACACAAACACCGAGACATCTTCACCGCCTACAGAACCCTGTAAAAAAACATTTCGGGTAATAAGAATAAAATTGACAAATAGACGGCTTAAGGTACGAGTGAATACGAGTACCCTAAAAGTGACATATTTTTTTAAGATTTTTTTTTTTACCAGATAAGGTTATGATACCTTTTTCTTGGCCCTGTGCAATGTCCAAATGCTCTTTTCGTCTAGACCAGGAACTGGTTCACCGATCTCGTATGAAAAATCTTTGGCAGGGTCTCTTGAGAAGAAGGACCACATATTCACGATTCAACTACTTATTTTCGTCATGAATTTAAACTCATCCTCTGATTCGGAACATTTCGTATCATGGCACTGACAGCCACGCATCAACGTATACTGAACCGCGCTCTCATACTTCGTGACGATTACGCGTTACCTAATTATCGAGCTCATACTGTCCGTGTGCAGATCGTGAAATTTAAGCGCTCAATCCGCTTATTCAATTTTTCAAATTGTATTTTCGACGCAATTACTTTTTCTTTTCTTCTTTTTTTTTGGAGGTGCCAATTTACTTGAAAACTTCTTATGTCAGATATCCGATGTCACGTTAACATCCGCCGTCGCCAAGTATGAACGAAGTTGGTCCATCTCTGGTGACAAGTTACACTTTCAAAAATGGCAAAGAGTACATCGTGAAGATCAGAATCGCCGCTTTCAAGGGACACCAGCGTAATTTAGAGCTCACCATCACCGACAAATATACCGCTGAGAACTGGCAATCTTGTTACGACGCTGCATGTTTGTTCTATGTTGTTGTTTTATCTCTTGTAGTTATCGCGTTTGTTTGAAGGTTATATCGAAAATCTTTGAATTTCTGTTTTTACACTCATAGTTTATAATTTTTGTATTACAAATTTTATATTATATAGTATATATATAAATTATATTATATATACTATACTTATTATATATACAATATAATAAATTATATATATAAATTATATATAATTATATAATAAAATTAAAAAAATATACAATTATATATAATATACAAATTATATATTATATATTATATAATTGTATATTGTATACGCAGTTTGTACTTTTTATATTACTGTAATTGTCTATCATAATATATATAATAATCATAATATATCATAATATATATGATAATTATTACATAATAATTATTATACATATTAAATAAAATATATCACATAATTATACACAATATTATTAGTATATCATATACACACAGTCATACACGTAATTATACTCGCAGTTTGTAATTATTGTAATTTTTATACTGTAATTATTACAATATATATATATATATAATTGCTATATATATAATATATATAATTGATATATATATATTAAGTAAAATATATAAATTATGTATTACATACATTATATATCATCTATCATATAATTATATATTACATACAGTTTGCAGGTTTTTATGTTACTGTAATTATCTTATTCGTTATTAATTACACAGTTTTTCTTTTCTTTTAAGACATTGAAAATTTGACGCACAAAACGGGGAATTACAAACATTTCGACGTATTTGTGGCCATGTTGCAGTCCGGATTGTTGAAAGTAAAATAAAGTAAAATGTTGTATTCAAATTATTCAATAAATTAAATGAGATAGAAATTTGATTATAGACAAGCGAATCCATTGCATTGGACTTGCTGACGTTTGAGGATTTAGAGTTGTTACGTGCCCGCAAGCTTGAACGCAGTTCATGCTCAAGTTTAGGTAATGCGATGAATAATCGCCGATATCTTATACTGACGTACACAGTAGAGTTCGATAGGTAAGGTACATCTTCCAAACTCGTTGTATTTGTTTGAAATATATTAAACGTATGCCCTAACTTCATTAAGAATTCATTACCCCCTACCTTTGGAATATTGTGGTTTACCCAATCCTACGGTACTGCAAACTACCATTAGAAAATTACAAACCGAGCTTGAAAGATTACAGTCTGCAGGAATACATAAGGATCTCCAGAAACTCCAGAAACGCATCGAGCAACTGACAATTGCAAATCAAAAACTTATACAGGAGAATCGTAGGCTCGCAGGCGGAGGTAGAAATAAATACGCTGCAACGCTTTGCAGACAAACTTTTTTTTAAATATATTTTATCATTCAGGGAAAGGTTTAAAATATTTATTGGAATCGATTAAGTCGTTAGAGAATAACGTTGTTAAAGAACGTACGTCCTTTCGCATGCAAATTCAAAAACTTAAAGCTGAAAACGCAGCCTTGTTATTGAGGATACAACAACTTACTGCTAACAAAAAATCCGTAGACGATAGTCCAGCATCGAAACGTCGCAATCATGCAGCTTGTAAACGGAACAGAAGTCGATCTTCTTCGATCTCAAGCCGCAATAGAACATCTATTTTGTCGCCAGGTGTACACTTGTTCAAATTTCTATTTAACTTAATGTTAGAAATTTTACTTGCACGTTTTTTTCCCCCGAAAGATTATTAACGTGTATTTTAATTGATGATAAACAGGAAGCTCGTTAGAATCAATTAGAACCCAACGATCTCCTTGCCGAAACACGAAAATATATAATAATAAAACAAAGAATGCAAGTTAGTATTAAGTTGATATTTAAACGTATGAATACACATGTAACGAATTTCAAAACTTTTTATTCTAGAAATCGAGTTTGAAAATTTGGAGGCAAGAATTCACACATTACAAAAAATGTTGAAGGAAGGAATAAGCCTAAACTAATAAATGAATAAACTTTTTTTAATGAATACTTAATAAAAATGTTAAAATGTTATTTTTTTCTATCATTACCATTATTGTATAATACAGCTTGATTGAATGTAGAATAGATCGACTATTTCTTTGTTCAAAGCGATACAATTTAGAAATATTTTTGTATAGTCTATAGACTATGTATGTGTGTTTTTGAAAATGATGATTAAAAAAAACAATAAAAAACTGTACATGTATAAACATAAATAGAAAATACCGAATGTCAACAATAGTGCACAAAATACTAATGTATAAATTGTGTTATATGTGATCTTAATTATATATAAAGTCATGTATATATTATGGGAAATATTTTTTATATACACTGTGATATCATGAATGCATTTCTCCCTTTAATATTATTCAAGTTATACCTACACTATCACAATCATTAATAAAATTTAAAATAAAATTTCAATTAACTGACTTTCTCTGTTTTTACATTATTCTCATAATATATTATAGCGCGTTCAATTATTGACGGTTTTTCAGTTTTTGAATTCGCACTATTCTGACTCTCATTGATATTTGATTGTTGCACTTGCTCATTTGTTTCTTTTACTCTTGGTTTCGCAACAATTTCATACTTCATATGTTTAGTTATTTCTTGAATAACTTCGTGTAGATATTGAATTTCATTTTCTTGTTCAGAAGTGATCTGATTCAAATTCTTAATGTCATTTGTAAACAATTGTATTTGTTGAAGACGCGCTTCCTCTTTTTTCGCCTCTTTCGCTGCCTGGCGATTGTATTCTAATATTAAACAACCACCAGCAACGCTAAAAATGATAACCTCACCCATCAAATTAGCTCCTAATTCTATGGCCATGGTTTCATTCAACTTTGCAACTTTTGTAGGTTTACTAAGATTCATTACATACATTTTGGCATTCACCTCTGCCCAATGATAAACTGTAATTAAATCACAAAAATATGAAATATAGTTGCATGCAATTGCGAAAGTATTATCAATGATGACATCAGTGTCAATTACATCACAATAAAGTAAATAACATTTTAAACATTTTTCACTTAAGAAAATTAATTTTACTTACATTGTGCAGGCGGTATAATAAAATATGTCCTGAATACAGGATGATTTTTTGCTTGGTTAACAAGAAACTTAGCTATGGGCTTGCTAATTTGTTTAACGAACAAAACTCCCAATTTCAGAGCTGGAAAAACACCCACTACCATTTCTTTTTCTTTTTTTTCTATTTATACAACTTCTATTAAAAAATTATATTTTGTATTGAATCATAAACCTGGAAATCATATGTATGAATAAATATTCCAATAGATTTAAAATGTGTTTAAAAATATAAACAATTTTCTATAAAAATATATTAGTTGTGATTGTATATTGTACACATGTCGGACTAGCAAATACTAAGAATATAATATCACGACGTCATGGCAGGTAAGGTAAATCTCACGTGTATTCGACATCATTACCTTACCTCTGAAATTGCTTCAGAGTTTAGCGAACAGCCATAGTTTGGTATGCGATAGTGTATGTGCGATACTTAACGTGCGAATCGTGTTTTCATAGATTTGTAAGTTAAGACACAGATGGATACACGAACAGTTGTTTATTTACGGATGTTTTTATGTTGACGCAAAAAAATTGTAAATATTTTTGTAGTATTATTTACGTACATTTATGTAAAATCAACGCTTTTTATTAAGAACTGTAATATGATGATCTTACAATACATCGTTGCGTTGAGAAGTTTCGAAATAAGAAGAGAAAAATAACGTACGTATCTTAATATTTAAATAGTAAAGCGAATGAAATAATAGAAAATCAATGTCAGTTGTATAATTTGTATCGTACGTTTAAAATTGTCAATTTTCTAGGTTAGGCGTGAAACACATATGTTGGAAGTCTCACTTAGTGAGAAGATGCATTATAAAAAGTTTAATATAGTCAGTAACAATTATTCATTTATAATATGGGGTCTGACAATGCATCTGATACTGTTGTGGGGTGTACTCGATGTGAACTTTCATTCCCCTATCATTCAAGAATTGTCAAACGTACCAATATTAAAAAATGCACCGGCAAAGAGATTGATCTTGTTTGTAGCAGATGGTTTGAGATTCAGAACTTTTATTGACGCACCACCAAAATATCTCAAGTACTTGAAGATCATTTCTGAATTCCACGTATATACGTACATGCAATGATATTATCTATGATTTTGATTATAGACACGTAATGACAGACAAAGGTGCTTGGGGTATATCTCATACAAGAATGCCAACGGAATCTAGACCGGGCATTGTCGCAATTTGTGCAGGATTGTACGAAGATCCCAGTGCTATATTTAAAGGATGGAAAGAAAATCCTGTTGACTTTGATTCTATTTTCAATCAGAGTTATGTTTCATGGGCTTGGGGAAGTCCTGATATTATACCTATGTTTACAAGAGGTATTACAATACAATTGAATATTTGACAAAAAGCTGAGAAATCAGATTAACGTTTCTAAAATTAGGTGCGAGGGAAAATATACATGGTGATAGCTATCCTGCCGAATGGCAAAATTTTGATATAATGCACGGTCAGATTTGGCGTTTAGACTCTTGGGTATTTGACAAATACATTGATTGGCTCAGGGAAGATGCTCATAAGTATAAAAACGCTGAACGTGTGGTTCTGTTCCTTCATCTTCTTGGCTGTGATACTACAGGACATACAGCAAAACCCTATTCCAAGTATTAAAAGAATTTGTTAATTTACATTCTTTATATTGAGAAGAAACATATTTAATAGGATTGTAATTTCATTAGCTCTAAATTACATTTAAATGTAGAGAATATGTTGATAACATGAATTATGTCGATCGGAAAATAGAGGAAGTCGTGCAAATGACGGAAAATTTTTTTGGTGATAATGGTACTGCATATATTTTCACATCTGATCATGGAATGACTGATTGGGGATCACATGGAAGTGGTTCTACAGATGAAACGGAAACACCATTGATCGTTTGGGGTGCAGGAATTAATGCATTTAATTTTCGTCAAAATGTAGAGCAAGTTGATATCACACCGCTAATTTCGGCCTTGATTGGTGCTCCAATTCCAATTAACAACGAAGTATGAGAATAATAGTAGTTTTATTATTTTGCATTCTTTTCAATATCTGCGTAATTTTTCAGGGTGTTTTACCATGGCAATATTTAAGTACTACTAATCTTAAATACGTAAATCATGCGCTATTAAATAATTTGAAACAATTAACATACCAAGTAAAGGCAAATCGCAAAATGAATTGTGAAGATAATGGATTTGCAGATTGGAGAGAGATAGAATTAGATAATAAAATTTCTATTTTAGATAAAGATTCTGAAACCGAAGATTCAAATGAGAAATTAAAGAAAATAATTGATGGAATTAAGCTAGCCAAAAAATCTTTGATATATTTTCGACAATATCAAAGGACACGATTTCTGTTATATTTGTCTGTAATATGGCTTGGATGGATAACACTGTTATTCTTCAAAACAACTGGAGTTAATCGACCCATTGTCAATTCTTTTATTTTATTAACAACAGACTGTGTATTTACAGCTGTAGTGATTATTATATTTATTACGCATAAAGGTATGATAGTTTATATAGAACATAACTATCTGAAGAATTATTGAATCTAATTTTAAGTAAAATAGTTTCAGGTTGTAATAATTGGAGATTACCTTATTATGCATTTTTAGCTACGATTTCTTCCTGGCTAGCTATTCGAAGTATAATTATGTACGCAGTAAAATTAAAAGTCTGCAACAACAAATATTATTGGACAATAATTGCAGAAATAATTTTTTTATTTATAACGATGTTTGTTGGTTTAACACATAGATTCGTTCTTAGCATAGGAATGTTATGTATTACTGTTGTTCAGAAGATATTGCAAAAGAACGCTCAAAATTTATTCTCTTGGACAGCGTTATGTTTAGCTGTTTTTCCGCTATTACCTGTTGTAGAGCCATATCCTCGAGTTTACATTATGTAAGTTCATACCAATATTATATCGTAATATTTCTCATATTGAATATAATTAGAACATTTGTTTTTAGAATTCTAAGTATATGCGTCGTAATTGTGATGGTTGCATTAAAAATGCGATCAAAATATAGGAAAGCAATCGAAATGTTTCGCTTAATAGCAACAGTATTAATATACATAGAATTTGTAGACGGACGAAGTTGGATATCATGGACAATTTTATTAACAACGCCATTATATATTTTTACTTATTCTACCCAATTAAAAAAAAGATTGCAAGGAATCATATTGGGACTTTTCTGCCCACTTGTTTTATTATCTGCATCTTACGAACCGTTCTTCTTTATAATTCTTGCATTACATTTGTCTTGCTGGTCAGAGTCTAATGCGTCTTCCATCCAGGATTATCAAAGTAATAAAAACCCTTTGACAATAGAAGAGTTGCTTAAAGCAGCAATCTTTGTATCCTTTCATAATATAAGATTTAAACTTGAATTGAATTATTATATATAATATAGCAATAATATCCTGAACAATTCACTGTAGATGTTATATACATTATTATGTTTCTTTGGAACTGGCAACATGGCAAGTATCAGTTCGTTTGATCCTTCTTGGACTCGTCATTTCGTAACGGTTTTCTCTCCATTTACAATGTTTCTGTTGATACTTTTAAAATTAAGCATTCCGTTGATGTTAATCGGATGCACAAGTCACACACTTGGATCTTCGAATATGTTTTTGGGACTACTTTTGCTGGGAGATTGTTTATCTTTACCACTCATGTATTATGTTACTCCTCAAGGAAGTTGGCTAGACATTGGTAGCGCTATAAGCAGATTCACAATTGCTATTTCTCTTCCATGTCTTATAGTATTATTGCATTATCTTTCATATCCTCTAATAACATTTTGTCCAAATAAACTTAAGTTTTACAGTAATTTAAAAAGAAATGTAAACAAAAAATTGTAAAAAACATAAAATATGTAAATAAATAATCGAAGATTTATTTATAATAAAATGGTCAAGTAAATATAATTGTTTTTATTTAATGCAACAGAAGTTGATACATCTTTGTTTTTCTTTTGGGAGAAACTAATATGTATTTCTAATATGTACCATTTAAAAATTTCATTCTGTAAGATTGTAAGATATGAAATATAAAATTTGATATTTCATTATAGTACTTCAAGAATAATTATTCATCATTCAAGAAGTTTCGACCTTATGTTAATATTATAATTTTTATATCTTTTAAATAAGTAATTTTTGTTTAAACTTAGAACTTAAATTCTTTGTATTTCTTAGAGGCTTTCGAATCTTGACTCTGTTGTCGTTTACGTTTACTCTGTAAAGAAAGAAATAAGCAAAATTTATTCGACGAATTAATTATTCATTAATTTATGAACATTCAACAGTATGTACTTACCTTTTGCCGTTGCACATGATCTTGAAGCATATCCGATAGATCTTCCCTCCTCAAATGAGCTTGTCGCGACCTCATCGTTTCTTCGTACCGCGATGCCATTGCTTCAGAATCTAAATCTAATTCGCTCGGATCTAATGCCAACTCAACAGCTCCATCTTTCTCTGTTCTTCCATCTGATGTTGTGCCACTCACTCCACGACGTGCGGCAATTACAGATGGTGGTGCTTGTCCTCCTGCTGCACCAGTCATGTCGTACACGTGTGTACTACCCATCATGCTTGCTCCAAGACCCTCTGTTCGTCTTTCTTGCAAAACCGTGTATAAAGCAGGAGTGTCGCCTCCTTCCATTTCACTCTCAATTTTCTTTTTCCTTAATTCTATTGTTTCTGGGGTTTCTAATCCCGCTGGAATCGACGTTATTCCACTAGGTGTTATCAATCCCTCTGCACCAGGTGTAACTAAACCACTCGTGTCTCCGTCTCCGTCTTTTCCTTCTCCTTCGCCTTCTCCACCTTCCTCTGCATCTTCATCTTCATCCTCGTCTCCAGAGGATTCTGACTCAGGTTCACCCCACATGCCTCTGTCAATCTCTTCATCCATGTTATCACCACCTGGAGTTCGAGATATACCGAATACGTCACCATACAAAGGTCTTCCTGTTTCATCTACAGGAGGCTTTCCCCAACCACCAGCGTGATAACCAAACGCGCAGCCTTCTGGAATCGGTGCATTTAAACCAGGTATCTTTAAGTTGGGATAACTTGGTGGTGGTCCATATCGCTGCATCGCGATCAACCATGGAGGTGGTACTTTGTGACAATTAGGCCCTACTGGCATACCAAGAGCAGTACGCAGCTCATCGGACAACTCTCCAGGTTTCTTTTCCTTCAACCGAGTTTCGAATTCTTTACCCTCGTAGTACAAGTCACCGTGGATGGTCATCCGCGGTTTGGTTTGCCATTTGAAGAATGCGTCGTGCAATTTCTGATAATCAATATCTATTTTGCCAAGCTTGGGCCTCGCTCTTTCTCGCATCTTGGCTTTCAACGTACGTGTGTCATCGCGTTCCTGGAGGCTCGCTCTCATCTCTGTTATACCCGTGCGCTTTATGAAATCCGGCAAGTCGAACGGGGGCTTCTCTATACCTCGTTTCCCTTGTAAATACTTTCTCTTGAAACACCAATGCCGCGGTACAGGCACTGTGTTACGATGAGCCTTCAACTGCACGAGAAGTTTCGGATCTCTAGCAGTAACGTCATGCATCTCTACAACGTCCGGTCGTCCCACGAGTTGTTTCAATTCCGCGACGCTCAAACGCGTTAGCCTCTTCAGCTTTCTCTTAGAGAGGCGCGGAGCACCATTCTCCCCAGTTCCTTGTTGCTGTTGCTGTTGATTCGCATCGTCATCGAAATCATCCAATGGCGGCACTTTACTGGGTACAGTTCCTGCTGTTTGCAATGCTGACACTGGCGGGTACTGTCCTATTGGCTCTCCCTTTTCTGCTTCTGCAGACTTTGGCTCTGGTTCGGTCAGTTTGAACGCCTCGAATATTCTGGCAAATTGACGATACATTGGCTCCAGATCATTGACACTTGGAATCTCTTGAATATATTCAATCTCTGGCAGATCTTCTTTCGGTTTTGCATTCTCCGCGTTGTCTTTTTTATTCTCAATATCCTTCCCTGCATTGTGCTTCTTTCTCTTTTTCTTCTTCTTCTTCTTGGTCTTATTCGCCTTCGTGTCTATTTTGTCTGTTGTTGTTTCAGGTTCGAGTATAACATCGTCTAATTGAGATACATCTTCTCCTACGTTCTCATGATTTGGCGACTTTCCCAACGAAACAATGTCATTTGGATCTGCTCCTACTTCTTTAGCTCTTTCGGTTTTAAAAGCCAATGCCTGTTCTAAAGCTGCTGGCAATTTCATAGAATCGTTGTCTGGGTCCCGGCCATTGTCATCCGACAAAGTCTGATTTTGTAATTCACTTGGTGGACTCACCTTCAGGCTCAATAAGCTTGGTAACGCTTTTGGTGGATCTATCCCTGGTATACCATGACTATTCGGAGGCATATTCATTAAGGATGACATTTGATGTGCCATTTGTTGAGTCTGTCAAATAGCGCACAAATAAAAATTATTAGGAATAGTGTGCAGAAATTATAATTTTTAAGTATACTTTACACGCAATTTAAAACAAATTTAGAACACTAAAAATTTATGAAAAATTTCAATTCGTATACAAGACATTATGTAAATAATACAATTCCGCTTGAAAAGAGGACAAAACTAACCTCACTTCCTGCTACGTTCTCCATGTTAGTATATCCCTTTGTTTATGTACTGAAACATGAAAATTTTATATTTACTTACAGTTGGAAATCAAGTCCTTAATAAAAGAATATTGATTTACATTTCTACTAACATTACACTGTCTAATAACAGAGTACATACAATATCTAACCACAAGCATCGGGAAAAACATAGAATATACATATAAATCAGAGAACGCTTCCCATTATTGAAAAGGTTATCACCATCTTATTGGCTACTTCACAAGATCAAATTGGTCAAGAAAAACTGTCAATCATTTTTATTCAAAAAGTTTAATCAAATATCCATGTAACAATTTATTCTTCATCGAATATACTAAAAATGAAGTAAACAACACGTAATTTCTTACATTTACGATTATTATCTGCAATTTGTAGTGAATCGAATTTTTATTAGAAAATACAAATAGAAGTTATCATTAATAACATGATTAACTTTTTCGATGTTTATGTCGAGTATATTATGAAAATTGTTTTTTTTTATTTTTTGTTTGATAATGAATATACTCGTCGTTTTTTAGTAAAAAAAATTTGAGGTCGCTAAAGAAATTCAGATATGACAGAAAACATATTTGTAAAATTACAACACGTTTTAGAATACTTTGGGACAAAAAAAAAATTGTTATCAATTGCAATCATATAATTTTTTATGAAATAGCACAATGAAATAATTTTAACAATTTTATTATAAATATTTACAATAAAATTTGACTTATAAAAAAACAATAAGAAATTTTGTCGTTTTATTATAATTTATTTCAATTTTACAGCAGATGCATGCAGTCTGCTCTTGTCGAATATAAACAACTCATTTTTAAGATTATTAATTGGACAAATGTGATTCTCTTTCATTTCTATTTACGAAAAGCTTGTCGGTATTTCAGAGAATGGAACGCGAAGTCCCATAAGATGCAATATCTATTCGTATACCCCGTCCGTGACTATGACAATTAACGTAACAACAGATATTATTTTATTTAATTTTTATAATGATTCGCTTTGTCGAACATTTGCTTCTCTAATTAATTTCAAATTGAATCTCTCGTATTTTTGCCGCCGTTTGTTTTCCTTTCTTCCCGCCAGCGTCGCCGCTGGTCG